TAAACGATTCCCTTTGCGATAATTGACATCACAGCAGATTATGGGGTAGCGAACGATTTTTCTGGCTTCCGTCTGTAAGAAACCCAGTGCAGCGCGCAAAGTAGCCTGCAAATACATTTGACCTTAGATTTGACCTATGTGGCCTTTTGTCTGTCATTCGTAAACAATAGGTAAAACAATATAACTACTATGTCGACTAATCAGAGCTCCTGACCAGATTCCGGACAGATTTTACGTCATCAGTATGGAATTTCTGTCGCTGAGTCGCAGACGTTGCTCCTGGCGAAACGTCACTGGCGACGAGGAGCAAGGAGAAACGGCTGTATTCGCAGGTTATGCGCGAGGGGAAGTTTGATAACCATGAAACTAAATGTTTCTCAGGATCGCAAAGTTAGGAGTAAAAGGGGAGTTTCTCGGTCCCGCGGAACCCATCCCTCGCTTCCTCGTACCCTTTCAAAATAAATTCACGACACCAGTTTTGTCTCGACTTTTGTATGAGCAGGAAGTTTCTTTATAAAAAAGGCTATGGGAAAGATTAAAAAAACTCTAAGAATTACATTCTCCCGCTTGTCTAAGCCGCAAAGGAAAATTTGACCCACGATATTATGCAGTCAGCTTTATAACCAAAAATAAGCTTATGTTAATAAAATGAATGTTTCATCTGATAGCTAGAACCCAAGAAGTGGCTGGGAACCAAGAGGAGAAGTCACCATTCCGAAGTCAACATCGATGTTTTGATATCAGAAGAAACATACTATTTGACAAACAAAGAGCAGTAACTTAGAACATGATCAATAATTCTTGAAGATAATCAAGGCGAAAGAAAGACAACAGTCGTGTTTCCAATCCTAAGCTCCCCATTTGTCTGGAAAATGAGTTTGAGAACGAAATTTGATTACTCTGCATTGCGTCTTTACACCTATCAATAAAGACGATTTTTAACAGTACTACAAACACCCTTTTTCCTCTTTTTAAAAGAAATAAAGTAGTTATACAACTTGTTTAACTTAAAGAAAAGCACCGCAATTAAGTAAAAACTGCAGAGGAAAGTTACGAAATTTCACACCAACTGTGATGGGTGTAAAAAGACGGTCGTTTCACCCACGTGTTAGGTCAGTTCACTAACTGCTTTCGGCTGACCACTGGCTGAAAAAGCGAGGTATACACATGTGTATCGCATTCAGTTTTCGTATCATGGCCGAAAGAACGAGGTCTATACATGCGTAGCGCTCGTTTTCGTTTTATAAGCCGAACGACTTAAGTCGTTAACGCACGGAAAGTTAGCTAAACGACTCGTAGGCAAAACGACCGTTCACCTTAAACAGTGCCCCGTATCCTCAAGAATCAGAAGGGAAAATAAAGCAAGATTTATCCGTCTTTCATAAGATAAAGGGTTCTAATCTTTTCGAAGGGGCCTGCCACAACAAAATCTATTGTAAAATTCATTGATTTTTTTTATTTATAGTAATTATTAACCGTTTGAGTAGAATACGAGTAGTCCCCCATTTTTCCTCAGGGATAGTAAGGCGAGCGAAACGCGAGCGCCCGTGCCTTTTCTCGCGTGAGGTGATTTTCACGCGTGCTCGCGTTTCGCGCGCTCTACTATCCCTGAGGAAAAATGGGGAAATACTCGTAGTCTACCGTTTGAGACCCAAAAGTGACCAACATCAATTTTCTCCTGACAAGTTCAATACATTATGAAGACAAAAGGTTATGAGAATTTATAAAATGATGGGAAAACCTTCTGATCTTTTATCAAATTCTCTCTACTACTTCTTTGAAGAAATGTGTGGAGATCAGTCAGAAGAATTTGTATGTGGATCTTGGGGCTTGAAGGGTTAAATAGTAGAATTAACTTTCTTTGATGCAAACTAATACTAAGCTAATAGACCTTGTCACTGTTTTGGGAGCCATTTTCACGAGTAGGCAACCGCGTGAGAAATTACAGTGTTTGTATGAGAATCTACTGTCGAATAATTTCCGTAAAACACCTATTCTGGAAAAAAAAGGGAATTGTAAACTAATGCTTCACTCCTAACGATTCAACTGAAAAAATTTGAGGGCGTTACATGCAGCTACATGCACTAGCACCACTTTTAAAAATTTTCCATACATTGGCCTGTAAAACTTTTTCTTCCAGCCGCCTAAAATTTCCAGGGAAAAATTGCAGACATATATATGGAAAATCTGAAGCAACTGTGTGGAGAAATTTAACCCCAGTTACGGCCTCCAAAATTTGTTAGAAGAATCCTTTGCTGTGTAGCTTTAGTTTACAATTTGTATTTTTTCAGAACAGGCGTTTTACGGAAATTATTCGACATTACATTCTCATTCAAACACTGTAATTTGTCACGCTGTTGCCTTCTCGTCAAGATGGCTTCCAAAACCGTGACAAGGTTTATTAGTATTAATTAACTTTCGATAAAAAGCTCAATTCACAAGTATGATAAGATATTCACGTCTGATCTGCATAGGCTTTACAACGCCAAGCTGAAGCCCACAGGAGATTATCCACTCATATTATTGGTTCTAACAAGTGTGGATTCAGCTCTGTTTAAAGTGGCCATGTCACAAGAATATTGCTGTTTTAGGTCAATTCTGTGCTTAGGTCACTACTTAAAACCTTACTCATACAAAAAATGCTCCTATAGAGTTATGAAAAAGATCTGTATCAAACAAATCTCATCCGAGAGCACCACCATAAAAATCTTAAAGGTAATTTTTTCAGGCATAGCATTATACTGTTTTGGTCAACTTTTTCAAGTTTCAATCCACATACATCCATGCTATCCATAGCAAGAGACAGTAGGCAACAGTTTCAATACCAAAATAGAGTCTTGTATAACAAAACTAAACCATTATTTTTGAAACTAATTTGATGCCAGGACATGATCTTTTAGCTTTTTTTAAACAGCAAATAATGTGACATAGCTCCTTTAACCCTTTAAGCCCCAGTATCTGCATACAATTTCTCCAAACTGATCTCTATACATTTCCTTAAAGAATTAGTTAAGAGAATTTGTTAAAAGATCAAGGCATTTTTACATAGGTGATCATTTTATTAATTCTCATAACTTATCTGTTGACAATGTATGGATATTGTTAGGAGAAAATTGATCTTGGTCACTATTGGGACTTAAAGGCTTAACAAGAATTTACTACAAGTCTTTTGATCAGGCACAATAATATTAAAACCCTGACTGGTTTCATAAAAGACAATGGGGCCTAAACACTGGCTAACTAGTATAAAACATGACTTCATAACTCTTTGTACCTTACAAAAACTACCTCAGATGTTTTTAATGATAGTTTCATTTGAGGTCGATATATCTCGACGAAACTCAAAGAATCACCTTTCATTACCACAGTATGGCAGTGAAGTCTTTTGTCTTATCTTCCTTCATGATAATAATTTATTATCAGGAATGAGTTTGAGAGATGACAACTCAGAACTTATCTGGACAACTTTGCTAAAGCCTACTTTTCACCAATGATAAGACTGAAAACAGAAGAAAACAAGCTAAGCACAAATAATATTTTTTAGTTAAATCCAACTAGTGGTCTATTATCAATGCTACATTCTGATTGGTTGAGCCACTACTAGGCTATATGTTATAGCCCACTAGTAGCGAAAAGAGCAGGCTTTTGGGTGGCAAAAAGGTTTAAAGTCTAGCTTTAACTAGCTAAAATGCTTTTATTCTCAATATTTTTGACCAACTAGTTGGATTTTACCAAAACAATTTATTATTCCTCTTGACCTCGTGGCCTCTGAGTCAATATTGACTCAGAGCCCATTTGGGCTTGAGGAATAATTTTTAAAAATCCACATGCTCTGGTAAGAGGAGTTCATCTGCACTTTCTTGCATGCTTCTGCCTCTGTTTTCTCTTCTTCTTATGATCAGCTTGCCGGTGAAAACCAGGCTTTTTTGGCCTTTGTCACGTTGGCCTTGGCTTTAGAATAAGTCTTCCCTTCTGAAAATGCCACAGATAATAAATTATTATAAAAGAGAGGTGTTAACATGTCAATGTTGAGAATTGTTATCAGCCTTTTTGTAGAAAAGGTAAACTTGATGGGAAGCTAACTTGGTGAAGCAGCTTTTTGGGATGGCTTATTTTTCACCTGAGATTTTCCTCTGTTTAGGAGAATATTATAGAGCTGCCAAAATTGGCCTGACCACGGGTTAGATGATTTTTAGGCAATTCCACCACTAAAACTACTGGAATTTACCTTTTGAAAAGCACTACAAAATAATGGCCTCTCCCCATTTACCTGATAAATATATTGCATTCCCATATGAAAATAATTGAGAAATTAACCCAGTGCAATGATAGAATAATAATGTTCCTTTGTGAGTGTAACTGGAAGGTTATTTAATATGAGACAAGTTTATGTATGTAAGTCAGGCTTGTATCTCCCCTGCCTGAGATCCTTTCTTTTGTTTGCTCAATTTTGGCATACTTGGGAAAAAATGCATGAATCAAGCAAGATCTTTGTTGAGCATGTGCAGCCTGTTGCTTTAGTACAGCTTCCAACCAGGCCTACTAGCTGTGCCCTGGAGACAGCGGGCTCAGTTATGAGCATCGCTTTATCAAAAAATGGATACAGACACTGGAAAAACCAGTTTCACAAGAGAAGACAAGATTGACTAGTCCTAAAGTCCAGCCTGAAGCAACTTCAATGGCTTGATGTGATTCAGGCAGAGTATTCTTATTTCCCCTCTTTGATCAAGACGAAGACAAAAGGAGCCTCTGCCTCCAGGGTGGTTTGCACCAATCTACTGATCATCTAACTTTATTATTGTGGCACATTTATTTAATTGGTGTCTGAACTATCACTGTACAGCATTTTAAGACAAAAAAAAGTACTTACATCATCACAGGACATGTTGTAATCCTCTAAAACAATTCTTGTTCTTGCTAAAATTCTTTGATATGTTAAAGGCAAAACTTTTTATTTTTCTCATTACCAGTACAATACAAAATACAAATAATAATACCATTATAATAAAATCTTTTGGGTGGCCATAAAATATTCTTAAAAGGAAACAAACGAAAAAAAGATAACTACAACAGAGTTGATAAATGTACAGTTTGAGATCCAGAAGCACACCCTCTTTATCAAAGCAAAGAAGAAACTGCAGGCATAAGTAACAAATAAACAATCATTTCCTGCTGTCTGCAGTTTTATAGACCATAGAAATGAAGACCCGCTTGTGGTTGCACTGCAAAGTGATTGAAACATGATCCAAGATCAACATGGCAGCAACATATTTCTTGTTTTGACACCAAACTTCCAACGAAAATGGGTTACCTTTTATTCGACCCAAACCCACTTATGTGTTATAGAAAACTTACATTAATATTATTCCATTGATAACAGTATCACTTAAAATTAATTTATTGTTATACATAAAATAAATATTATTATTATTGGACATTTTGGGATTCTGAAGAGTAAAGGATACATCTGTGGGGCCATAACTCTTCTATGAATTCCGAGCATAAGTAATATGAATAGGATGCAGCAACTTAGTGTAAATAATTTGTGATAGAAAAGGTATTGTAGTAATGATGGATGCTGCAAAAACAAGAGCAAAGGATATTTTCAATAACTGAGCGAATCCTTGTGCGCTGATTGGTCGACAGCTATGGTCTATAATAGTACAGACCATGGAAATGACATAACATGTCACGCAGTGCTGGTTCTCTTGTTTTTGGTCTTTTGTATAAAAATAACCATGGTAAAAAAAAAATCGACCAAAATTTTCCATGGTCTACACTCTTATAGACCATAGAAATGACGCCATAAAAAGTTGAAAACTTTGCAGTGAAACCATTCGCCTGCAGCTGGTGGTTCCAGTTTTGAACATTTTTTGATGTCATTTCTATGGTCTAAAAGAATGTAGACCAGGGAAAATTGTGGTTGATTTGTCAAAAATTATTGAGGTGAACAGTTCATTGATAAAATTAGTACAATGTAGGTGTAATCAAGTGAAAATAGGGAATAATTTTATACACATTATGTCCAACTTCGAGCCTTTAGGCAAAGGAAATCATTAGGATGTTGACAGCTCCTAATCCCTTACACACTAATCTTGAAAAACTGGTTAACAATACATGAAGGAGCTATAAAAGGAATTACTTTTTAATCAGCATGTGTAAATCTCAATAAAGAATTCTTGTTAAATGCCCACCCAGATGAAAACCCAGCAAAACATAATCAGCACGCAAAAAAAAAACATTGCTAGTAAAAGGTGATGTCAGAGCTCTGACAAACTAACGTCTCACGAGATTGGTTGAAAAAAAAAAATTCAGGATGCAACCTAGAGCCCTAAAACAAAAGACCTACATATAGGGGTTTCATCTGTTTTCTTCACACATCAGAATATCATCTCTCTTTGCCTACATTCTCCCCTGGGTACTACTAACTCTTTGTTGGTGATGTTATAAAAGTCAGCTTAAGACACAGATTTTGTTTTACTTTTGCTCTGGCTAAGGGTAAAACCATAGTTCTAAATGATTGTGTCTGATGTTTTGGCCATCCAAAACATTTTTATATCATTTTTAACGCAACCTGGACAAATGCCCACCCATTTATTAGTCTAATCAAAACCCCTTACGAAGTTGTATAAGCTCAGGGCTGGTGACAGGAATTTGATGGTATCTTAACTATCACTTACTTGTTGATTATCTGTTATTAATCCCCAGGCTCCAGCAGCCGTAGCAACAGATGAAATAACAAGGATCACTGTAAACATTAACACCATCTACTTAGACTAATAATATAACATTAATTAATATTAATTATTTTTCACCAGATGGTAATGCTCAGCCCTTTTAGTTACCCAGGGGAAGTGTTCAGGATTTCAAGTGACGGAGATGATTGAATAGGGGCAAAAAGCAAAAGCCAAAAAAATCCCTAGACAAAAAATTAACCTCCAAAAAATTCCATGCAGAAATTCCAAGTCTTAAAAATTTACAGAAGACATTCATTGTTTGTGTTTGTTTCTCCATCATACCATCTGACGTTATCACACAGGCACTACCACGAGTCTTCAGATTGTTTTGAATACCCCCCAAAAATCCCTACTTACATCAAGCCACCCCAAAATATACTTGCCAAATTTTTCTACCCCAAAAAATCCTTTGATCATCCCTGTCACTTGAAATCCAGTGTACTCCTCCTGGATCTACTCCTCAGCCTGACATTATTGCAAGTGAAAACCATGCTTATGGTCCCTCTATGAAGACATCTATGCACATCACATTTGTACTGCAATGCTAAATACCACACTGTTGGACATTATTACAGCTTTACATCATACAACATAATGCAACAAGAAAAAGTAATTAAGCAATTTATGATTTTATAAAACTAAGCTCACAAAGCAGGCTTAACTACAGGTTTGAAGCTCAAGGTGAGCATAACAAGTGCGAGGGATTCTAGCTTTATATTCAGGCACGCTTATATCCTTTGTTTTAGGCCACAGTATCACAATACTGTTTATTTCCTTGCGTACGTTTTTCAGCAGAAAATTGATACCCTGAATTCAAGACAAAACCACCGCGATCAATAATTATGCACTCCAAATGCCTGCACTGATATGAAAACTCACTTCTCCATCTTCCCGTCTGCGGACCTAAACACGACACATACTCCGTCAGCCTCCGTTCAAATGCTTTCAAATCTGCAACATAGGAACATATAACTAAGACACTGCTTTACGTATTTTCTTTTTCAAAACTCTAAAGACCAGAGGAAAAAGTCAGTAGCTCTCCAACCTTCTGTTACTTGCTGGTTCGCCGCCATGATATAACGTCCATTTCTATTACACGACTGTGCATGCGCAACCTCCGTCGGGATTTTGAGCCTGCAGTTTTCAATGCTAGGGGATGTCCTTTTCGGAGCAGGCGCTTTTTCGGGAAGAGAGAATTCAAGATGGTGTCGTATTGGAGGCAAGCCGGGTTAAGGTAGAAAATTACTTCATTATTTCTATAATTTCATAGGTTTTAAGACATTAGAAAGCTAGCATTATATCTTCTGATCGTTTTATGCTTAGTGCTTTGAGGTAACCACTGACTCACTCTTTGTGAAGCTCCATAAATTGAATGATATTAACTCACGAGTGTTCACCTTAAATATAATTATTTGAAGGTTTTTGCGGTCTAGGCTTCCGTTTATCGTTTATAAGCCAACCTTCTACTCATATTAATTCATGTAGTTTATTAGTCAATCTTGAATCCCATAATCCATGTAGCCAGTAGGTAATGCACTTTTAGTCAATGTTATGCAACCCCACCCCCGAGACCCCGGTTGGGGTTGGGGGGTTGGGAGGCGGCAATGAGGAGACCACTGGCCGGAAGTGCCATCACCTGCTCTATACTCAACAGTTGCACTTTCATAACTTTTAAAAAACTTTGCATACTCATAAGGAATTCTAGCCTGCGCGCAGATGAAATTAAACTCTGGTTAACTCTGTCTGCGAAACAGCGCCGAAATCCTTGTTCTGGACTTCCAGCTGTGTACCCAGATTTGAGTACGCGCCACGATTGGCCAGTTAAACAAGGCCTTTGTTTTGTTTGTCGTGATCGCCAATCAGGTTGAAGGGGAATTCGAAACGCACTTCCGGTAATTCGTGGAGTCCGTTGGGGGTCCAGAACAAGGATCTCTGCGCTGCTTCGCAGATGGTACTAATCAGAGTTTAGTTATCGTCTGCACGCAGGCTAAAGGAATTCAGGAAGAAGCAAAAAACCCCTCAAAGAACCAGTAGCTATATATACTGCCTTGTCTTCATAAGCAGTGTTCAGAAATCTAGAAGTTAGTCAAATTGGGTCATATGTTCCACTTGGTGTTTTAAATTGAGTCATTTCAAAAATGGCCTGGATCAAACTATGATGTAGAAACTTCATAACAACTGACATCATCCGAACTATCACCATTAGGCTCTTGAGGTTCTGGAGGTTGACTTATCAAACTGACTTCTCTAGCTTCAACATCCTTATCCTGCCATTCTCTTTTGCATAAAAAATGAACGATAACTTTTGTTCGTGTTTCATGATGAAACAAGAAAAAAAAGAACAAAGTCAGTAAATGAAGCTTGAACCGAATGGCAAAGTAATGTATGGAGAACATCAAAGTGTACGCTGCAGTTTCTCTCGGAATTACGTGGAACTCTTCACACAAAAACTACTCGCAAGCACATAGTCAACAGTCATTTTGCCGCTAATTTCAGGCTAGTAAGCACTTGTCTCGACACCTATTTTTCAAAAATTTACTTTTATTACTGCCTGCTGCTTTGGAAGTACTTATTTATGAGAAAACTTTTTTTGCGTCTGTATGACTCCAAGATAATTATTTCATCTTGCGTCAGAATAGAATATTCCACGTCAATGATGCAAAAATGTGGCCTAAATTGAACACTGCATAAGTTATTGTGAATCATTACAATTGCATGGCCCAACAAGTCTGTTTCTATAGAGAAATACCGCTAACTCAAGTATCATTTTCTGGGGTGATTTCCCTGTTATTTGTTTGTGTCCTATTCTGAGTGAAGGAGATTCAAGTTTTAGCATTAAATGCGGTTCCAACTCTTGTATTGATACATTGTAACTTTTCCACCATATATTCTTTTTCTCATTCCCACAGCTATTTGACTTTTTCCTCAATCTGTGCAAGACTTGTGCGGAGGTGTCTGAAGCCAGATTTGCGGGTAGAAGCACTTAAGCGTGAAGAATCCCTTATGAAGACTGTCAAATGGGAAGGTGGCAAGCAAGTTGGAGAAGCAAGTGAGTAGCTTATAATGGATTACTCAAGCCATTTATTACTGTGCAAATAACAAAGATTATAAAACCAATTTCTTTTCTTTTTCAGAGTCAATTGCTCAGTGACACTGACACATTCACCTGGATGTTTTTCCTTTCATGTATGACATAATCAAGATCTTTTGTGTGCTGACAGCAGTATTTCCTTGGGCTAATTATTGTTTGGAAGGATTGTGAATAAAGTTTTGCAGTAAAAGTTTAACGTGAGCCTTGCTTAATGACTTTTCGTATCCATATTTTTTTTGAAAAGGAACAATGTCTTTTTCAAATAAGATCCTTTGACCCATGAGAAAATGTCTTTCAATATTGCCATCTACTCTTATATTTGTATCTGAACTACAAATCATTAGAGGACCTTGTTGTCCCCGGGACCAATATTGTGGGAAAGGTACCAAAGCCAAGAATATGGGCATCATTTTGTACCAGTGGTATTGTTACAATAATTATTGCTGGTTATTATTGCTGGTTATCACATGATGTCACTAAAATTCAAACTACAAAACTATCGACGTGGCAGCTGAAAACTAATTTTCATACAAATTTTCGCTTCAAAAGGGTTCTTGGTTTTGTGATAGAGTACGCTTGAATTTCTAAGCTTTTGCATGATGTGGCATTTGCGTGACAGCCAAGAGAGCTGTCATGTCTTATTTCAGGGAATTTTCCCATCTAAACAGTTCATGTATTAGAAAAAATATTACTTTAATGTTTGTGAGTTCTTCGAAGAATAAATTTTACGCTTTTGTAGCAAAACTTGGTAACAGATGTTTCTGTTGGTTTCCGTCTGCCATGTTGGAGCTCTGACCTCAATCTTGGCGAGGGTCTTTGTATATGTACCTCCTTTCATTTCCTAGATTCTGGACTTTATCTATCGCACGGTTTTGATTTTGATCTATTTTGAATGGCACGACACTGAAAACCAGCAATAATAATAATTTTATTATTGTTTTCAGCAGCACATGATCATTCAAACTACAATGCTCTCACTGTAAAGGTCCTTAAAAAAACTGTCAAGTGTTGTCTCCTCAAACTACGGCTAAACCAGGGTATACTTTCTCTCACTCTGCTCCACTCCAGGCCTTTAAAAGGGATGCTCTTAATAGCGTTCAAGTCTTGCTTGCTTGGAGATAGATAAGAAGTGAGGAGGCAATTTATTCTACATGAAACAGGTTTTCCTTGCTAAACGTTTTTCACTTCCTACTTTATCAATGGTCAAGTATTTGAGCCTGGCACTGTGACCTCCTCCCCGCCATGTCTGGCATGGACGACACACGGTGGGATATTTTTCAAATAAATCAAAGAGTGCCCCTTTCATAATCAACTGCTCTAAATAGAGAAAAAAATGGAAAAATAGCCATCCATGTGTTCAACTGTGAAGAAACTTGAGGAAGCAGAGTATAACAGCACTACAAAACAACAATACTCCAACTTTGTAGTTTAATGTTGCCAACATTCAGCTATGTGAAACTCTTCAAGAGAAACTACAAGTATTAAATCTTACAGTAATCTCTATAAAACTTGAACTGTAAGCTAACTTCATCCAGTAGCTGACATCTTAAATAATGTATTTTGGTTTTAGTGTTCACTGGCACTTAACTGGTTCTTATTCATCTTTATGGGCTATGTCAACTTAAGTTTACACCAAAGCATTTAGAAAAGCTGCCATATTATTGTTTATCCAGAGGTCGTGGAGTAATATGGCATTAAGCTAGTCAGGAAGATCTAATTCTTTTTTCTTGAAATTTACCTCCTTCTCATGAGCACTGTGAAACTCAGAGATCAAAATCTGCTGATCTCTCTGCTTAGCTATTCAAGTCAAAGGCCACGTATGCTGTTTAAGTTATGTTTCGTACACTCTGTTTAATTTTAAAATGTTGCATATCCTTTTATTCTCCCCAGTTGCCTATTTAAAGTCATGCAGCGAGCATTGAGTTTCAGTTGTTGGGCTCATTCAAGCAGAGTAGTTGTCAACCTGTTTACAGAATTGTAATAAATAATTGTTAACCACAGCTGAGAAGTCTAAAATGATGAACTGTTTTGCCTAATAAGGATGCAGTCATAGAAATCAAACTGTGTGTGACTGAAATACAAATCTATACCTTTGCATTTGGCGTCTTGAGTCGATGGTGTGATATAAAGTTAAAGTATTTTTAAATATGGATACCAGTATGAAAACTATGGCAATGTCTCTCACACACTTATAAAATTAATAACATCCAAATATTATTTTGTCCTAAGCTGATTTTCTTCCAGTTTGCTTTAGCTGACACCACTGAATTAAAATCACTCCTTTTGATTACTATTATCAACCAGCATGTTATTAAAGAGATTCTAGAGGACTCTAAATAGAATTTAGATAATTTTTAACACTCTTTGACTGGCAGGAGGGATGTCCACCCTAACAAAAAGGGAACATCCATTAAATCTCTTGGCTAACTCCAAGAGCCATGTTCTGGTACACTGTTTCAAGGACTCTTCACATTTTTGTTAAGTGCATTGTCAAAATTAATGGCTCTTACTTGAACTTTTAAGTTACCTGAGTAATAGCAACAGAGCAATCAAATTATTAGTGATAATCTTTTATGACCTAGCATCTTAAACATGAACAGTGTATTTATGTTGTGGTTCAATTTTATCCTTGGTTTACTTTTTATTTTCTTTTGTTTTGGGGTATCGTAAATTGTAAATTGTAAATGTCTTATTATCCACCCCCCTCAGGGCTTTTCAGGGATAATTTACAACACTGGTTGGGGTACTTTGCCAGTCTGCTTAAGGTGCAGTTTCCAAGTAATGAAGGAATGAGTAATGATGCCCCCATACATGAGTGTGAAAGTGAGATAGACCACTACACCGAGCACCGGCTAATTTATGATAATGAGTTTGTAACAAAAGAAAATAAAAATTACCCAAGGGTAAAATTGAACCGCAACACATACATTTATATTTTACATTTGAAGACTTTAAACACTGACAATATATACATCAAACGTTCATAAAGCTGTGATCCTTAGAAGCTCAAGATTTCTTGTCCAGCTGACTCTTATGGAGTGGAATGTGGTTGGTTACATATTAACTGATCACTTTCCATTCCATAATTACTAAGACAAAATGCCATGGGTTTTGAATTGTTTGAGAAAGGAAGCCTAAAGTACAAGGCTTAAGTGTAAAAAGAACTTCACGAGATATTCATAACATTCAGCTTCAGAAAGGAAAGAATATTCATCACACATGAAACTTTGTTGATAGGAGGTGAAAATGGCAGGTTACATTTAAATGGAGATTGACTTTTCAGCCAGAAAAATCAAGACCAGTTTTTGCTGAGGGAGTATTTTCTGCATTCAACCTGAAAATGAGATCAGTCCAGACCTCCTTGGCATAAACATGTAAACCACTATCAATATTTAATCAACTTGTTCTTGCATGCTGCAGACTTCTCCATACGATAGGAAGCCAATCCTCATCTTCCTGTTGGGCAGTTATGCCAAACAATGTGAGTCATTTTCCTTGTCAACCTTGTCATTTTTTTTTTTTCAACAAAACCCATTCCAGATGTCACGCTTATATAGCAAGTAGTGGTACTAACGCCAATGGCAATACAAAAACAAAATTGTCAAAAAAAGCTGATGGCTGATTTTGCAGTTTCCCTGAGTCTCTCCACTGCCTCCTCTGAGATGTTAAAGCAGCCCTCAATTCCCAAATGAGTCAAGCAAGGCAAACCTTTAATGACACTCTCGATGCTTGCATCAGTGATTGCATTGCAGCTGGTCAATGTCATATCTGTTAAACCCTTCAAGTAGACAACAGCCTGCTGGATTCCAGCATCTGTAATTGAATTTGAACCTAGATCAAGCTCTTCTAGGTTTGCAAGTGACTCTGCAGCCTTGATCAGACCTCTGTCAGTTATCTTGCACCCCTCAATGCCAAGAGAAACAAGCTTCGGAAGATGTCGGCTCACATAAACAAACCCACGGTCTGTTACTTTGGTCTGGTCCAATGTGAGTTGTCTGAGCTCTTTGAGGTATTTACCAACTTCACACACACCTATAAAGAAGAAGTCATATAAGGTCTGTTTAACGTGTTAACAAGACCCAAAGAGAATGAAACGTGCCAATCCTTGCTCTCAGAGAAGAGCAAGGTTTGACACAGTTGATGAAAGTGGGTATTCGAAGAATAGGCTATGGACACTTCTCAAGTTGTTCCAACAATGTAAATTTACATGCTACAACTACTTCTAAACTAAATGATAGCCCTGTTAATCTTTATATGCAAATTTTCAAATCTCTTAAAATGGATAGAAAACTAAGGCAAATATCATGAAAATTTGGCCCCTGGTGCCTAACTTTTACTCTGGGCAACAAGAAAATAGTAGTTTTTTTATGGAAATCATATGCTGGTTTCACAGATTCAGAGCACTGGGCTCCCTTCAATTCCTCTTAGAGTACAGCCTTGGCAGGGGTGAAAGGAAGAGCAGGGCTCGAACTTAACTTTTGAACTTAATAGTCAAATGGCTAGTACATGCTCGGGCTTTACTAGCCATAAACGTGTTTCTAGTAGTCTAGGCACTTCTGTACAGCATAAGATTTTAAAAAAATGTCAAAAATCCTGTGGTTATCAAATGTTAATAAAAACTGCAACATAAGAAAAATTCAAATGCATCTTGTCTTGTATGTTGTTACAATACAATAATAAATTTTACTGAACTCTACAAACAAGAACCCAACAGCACTTGCACTGGTCTGCAGTTTAAAGTTCAGCAGCCAGCACCTGCACAAGTTGTGTTGTCTCCAGGGCTGCAAATAACGGACAGCAAGTTGCCGGTCATGATGACCGGCCAAATATTCTTTAGCCCGGACAAACCCCGATTCTGGCCGGTCAAATAATGAATACTAATAATTTTTTTTTGCCTAAGGAATATCCAATTATGCTGGCAATAGATCGTTATTACTACATTGACATTCACATTTTTGACAGCAAATTGGTGAAAAATGCATTCGCACGTTGTAGAGTTCCTTTCCGCGGTTTTCGTGTTACGTTCTACCTTGAGTATCATTGCATGGCGGTGTCTGAAGTCTCTTGAGGTAAAAAGTGAAGTGTAAATCCTTTTCAAACTCCCAAGGTTCAGGAAATGGAATACACATACAGTTCAGCAAACTTTAGAAATTACGAAAAAAAAACAAAAATATTGGGTTATTTTACAAAATCTGCACACGCTTGTCTTACGTTGACGTTCCGAAATGAACATCGGTGAAACTTGATCTTTTTCCTTGCCTGGCACGTGATCGAAAGTCACTTCCTCAAAGAATAATCGTCGCTGATGTTTTCGGCCAAGAAGTTGATTTGCCTTGGCGAGAAGTTTGTTCCACAAACAGCGTGTTGATGATCAGAAGTCAATAAATAAATTTGGGTCATTGCGCAACATTTTATCGTGAAGGGCTCAAATGTCAACAGAAATTTGCATAAAGTTGTTTACAAGAACGAGAATCTAGCGCCGCGATAGACGACGACCTTCCCTCTTGAGTAGCTTAAATTTTTATCAGACCATTCTGGAATCGAGTCTGCAAACGATATTCATGTTTGACATAAAAGAAATTATTATTAATCGATGCGCTAACATTTATTTCCGGAGAAACACAGGACGACCTGTTGAGAATTGCAATCGATTTGCCTGAATTCCTTCGAATTCCAAAAGAAGTGAAGAAGGTCATATTGCTGATTACAGCAAAGCCGAAAGTACAGTACGACTTGCAACGTTGCGTTACTTTTTAACTCAGTTTGTTATTCACTTTGTTGCGTTTCATTATGACATGACGACATGAAATTAATTTATTGCGGTGTTCTTTTTCTTAGAAGGGTTTAGTGCAAAGCAGCAAAAAACGCCACAGAAAAAAGAAATCATTGCAGCGTTATAGAGCATTAAGCGACAACTCTATTGAAAATAAAATGTTTATATCCAAAAATGACCGGTCAAAATGACCGGCAAGACCGGAGTTTGACCGGTCAAGTCCACGATCAGGCCGGACATTGTCCGTTGACCGGCCGTTATTTGCAGCCCTGGTCTCTACACAATTTGCAGAACATTTGGTTTGCTTCAACGTCGTTTGTGAGCCATGGAAAGTCTTTCAGCCAGGTCCGTACAAATTTTACATGTAGACGTGCTGCCTCCAGCAGAATCATCGCTTGCTCTCTTTAGACCTTTAGTTGTTTTATTTGACAACAGAAATGCCCTAATATCCATGACAATCATGCGTGGACTGTGATTTTAGATTTGCATTTCAAGATGGTGTACATTTGTTTTTTGGCTAGCTTTGCATCATGGGTACTGCCTGGCCCATGCTCCCAGGTAAAACAAAATTTCAAGATGGCAGCGAATAAATGCGAAACTGAAAACCGAATTAACAAATATTATTCTTTCTTTTATTCACGCCAGTTGTTAATGGGGGAATGAAATAAGAGGTTACTAGAAGGTGCGGATCAACTGGGAAAATGTTGAAAACATTTCAAGGCTTATGTTGTTTACAGGTGCGAAAATTAACTAGCCAAGATGGCTAGTAAATGAGCTAAATCCACTAGCCAAAAATCAAAATCTACTGGTATTTGGCTAGTAGACCACCGCCAAGTTCGAGCCCTGGAAGAGGTTTATCCATGTACACTTCTGTCATGGAGATGGGTTATTTATCTAACATGATCACTGGTTTTACTGTACCTGGGTTGGAGACACGCTTGCAGTAGGACAAATTCAATTGCTGTAGCTGAGTCAAATTGAAAGCAAGAATTGCAACACCTGCATTTGTAACTCCACAACAGTCCATCAAGTCAAGGCTTGTAAGGTTCTTCACAAAATTCGCTATATACTTTACCCCAACATTAGTGAGCTTGGAATGGGATGATAAGATCAAAGACTTCAGATTTCTTAAATATGGAGCCATTCTTCCCATTCCATTGTTACTAATTTCACAGTTACGCAGGTCAAGTGATTTCAGCTGAGTAAGCTTACTGGCAATTGTGGTGACTCCTCTGTCTGCCAGTTTCTGACTGCTTAACGATAACGACTCAAGTTTTTGTAAATGTGAGCCAATCAGGTCAGCAGTGCTATCGCTAATTGTTTCAACATATCCCACATCAAGCACCTTTAGGTTCGGCAAGCTTTTAATCAAAGTATGCATTGCAGAATCACTGATGCCATCACAAAAGTCAAATGCTAAACAACTGAGCTCCGTAAGCCTTGCAATATCCATGAACATGGCTTCAATGTCCTGAACATTGTCTGCAAAATGCAGCTGATCACCTCCACCAAATGACAAGTGCCTTATTTTTGTCAAGTACTTTGTAACATGTCTAATGCCTTCACTAGTAACAAATGGGCAATCCTTGACATCCAAAAATGTCACTTCAGGGAGGTTTTGGGCCACTAGCTTAACTGCAACATCAGTTATTCCGTGGCTCCACTTCAAGTCAAGTGCCGATACCTCCTTGAGATTTTCAGCTACATAACGAACACCAAGCACTGTTACCCAGTCACATCCTCGCAGACTCAGGCGTGACACCTTGGGACAGTTATCTGCCAGTGTCTTCAGGCAAGCGTCTGTTAGACCCTCGCACCAAGTCAAATCCAGTACCTCAAGATTATTTAAGTGTTTGATGAAACCCTGAAAGCCAACTTCACTTATATTATCACAGTCCTCTAGAGTGAAACTAGTGAGCTTTTTTAGGTGTGGGCCACAAGCCTCCAAAACACTGTCGGACAACCTTCCACATCGTCTGAAAGAAAGGTGTTGTAGATCCAGTAATTTAGGAATTTCTCTTTTAAGAAACAACTCAGTCACTTGAGGGCAACCTCCTAAGTTGAGATGAGTAATTCCCGGCAAATTGCTGAACAAAATGGACAAGTCTGTTGTGTTCGCCCTTGTACAATTCACTTTCGTTATCCGGCGCCTTTGAAGACTTTTCACCAGTTCTTCCGTACAGTCCAAAGGCAGAACAACCGTCACATCACGCCAAAGAAAAGGCAGATACGAGACTCTTTTCCACAGACGACAAACTTGAGCTGCTGTTTGCTTCTCTGGGACGTCAAGAAAAGAGAAAACAAGAGCAGCGATATCTGCAATTAGAGGTCCTTGATGGTCACAGGAGAAATTCATCTCCACCTTGGCCAATGGTAATCAATATGCTTTGTTACTTTCATAACTTTGGAAGAAAATAATATAAAATGTTAACAAACAAAAAAATCCTATCTTTTTTTCTATCTGAGCTTTCTTGTTACGTTATTTTTTCTGTTTTTTCAGGCCAAAAATTGGCCGCCCAACTTTCTCCTACTGAAAAAATCAAATATGGTTGCTCATATCGAGCGCGCTGTCTTTCGCGGCAAGAGACTGGTGACATTACTAACGAAATGTCACCGAAGCTTTCCGAACGTCTTACGGAACTCGCCGGCAAAGCTAACATACAATATGGCGGACGAACCACACTCGAACGGAGAAGCAACGTGCACCAGGAATTCCACATTACCTGAAGAGTTTGTCCCCGCAGAATGCAAATTCAAGATGCATACATTCTCTGAAATGATTCTAGATCAAAAGGTTCATTTTCAAATTCTCAAAATGACGGACAGCTTATATTTCTGGATTGGAAACTCTCTGGAAATGGACTCACTAGCTGTAGCCATGTGTACAAAATTCGTAAGTATTTTTGAAAAAAGCGAAATTGCATGTAAGCTTGAATATATATGATGACCTCCAGGATCCAGTCAAAATAACAAAAAAACGCGCGAGCCTCATAGTCTGTTTTCCCCCTCTCCCCAGGGGATGGTCCATTTTTATCCTCACCCCCACCCTCCTAAGGATGGCGGGTTTTTCAGAGAAGTCGACAAAATATTTGGAGCCTTAGGACAAATTTTTCAACGGTGCCGACAAAAAATGAAGCCTTCGGATTCCATTTTTCAACGGGTGTTGACAAAATTTTAAGGGGTTTGGATTTCCAGTCATCTTTAAGGGTGGGTGTGGATAAAAAAAGGATTGACTGTCCTCAGATCCTAAGTTTGGCTGCTCACGTGTTCTTGACCTGTGCAAAAATATGTTTCTACTCTTTTGTAATCTAGATATGGCATGAATTTGGGAATCACCTGTTCTTGGGTACATGTCACTAAATCTGCCAGATAAAAATATCTTTCAGTAAGCTGTTATGTTTTGTTGTATAAAAAAAAAAGCTGTTATGTGGGATAGTCTGGGGCCCCAAATTTCCCGAAACTAAAAATATGTGTATCGCATATCCTGGCGGGCTCAGCTAAAGAGCGAGTAGTAGGAAGGGAAAACAAGTCGACTCGAACCCTGAGGTTGCTTGCTTGCCTGGAAATACCCTCTACCACTATACCATGTGAGCAAATAGTGGTATAATCTTCAACTTCCACAATATTATATGTTTGGCGGGAATTTTTGTGGAAAATACTGTTTAAAGCTGGTTGAGCCCTATTAAATATGAATTCAAAGATATTGTTTCAAGAAAATAAGCAAGGATTTGGTGGTTGGTAGAAAGCCAAACTTCAATTCAAACTTTTCTTTGGACAGGACTCAGTCCCATCTGTTGTCAACCTCATGGGAAATAAAGCTGATCTCAGCTCATCGACACTTGCACAGAGGCTTGGTGAGTAGCAGAGGTTGTCATTACTTTTAATTTATTTGATAGGTGGAAAGTAAGGAAATTACCCTGTGTTGAGATCTAGTGCATACTCTGTCAGCTTCTGTTGTTCTTCATGTTTTGTTTTCACTTACATGTGAGTATCTGGGACTCAAATACATGACCCAGCCGTTACTGAAAGCCCTGGAAATTCAGGTACAATCCAGGCAAGGGAAATATAGGAAGGGTGTTCATCTTCTGTGTATGAATATTATAATAAAAAATTCGAGCATCGTCACTTGTTTGCTTAAGTCTTTCCATTTCCTCTGCAATGAATTTTGAAAGTACATCAACAGGCAATTCCCTCCTAGCAGAGGTCCCTCACAGCAAGAGATGTGTTTTCTATCACCCATGTGCTGGCATTCCTAAACAGGCAATGGCATATTCAACAATGTGTAACTGTTGTTGGTGAAATTCCTTCTCAGGTTAAACCAGTATTCAGCCTACAAATGGCAACAAAATTAGTTCAGGCTCTTTTCCCCTAAGGGACCTTCTGATGTTTTGCTGACCTCAAAAGGAGAAATGTTTCCCTTCCCAGCACCTCCATGCAATGTTGGGCTACTGTTTGAGCTACTTGTAGGAAATAAAGAACATCCCAGCTTTGGAGGGGTGGGGGCAGGAGTGTGGATTGTTTTGTTCTCTGAAGTTACACTATTTAAGGAGAGTGTCTTAACAGTTTTATAACATCATAGGTTTTATTCTTTGTTTCACAAAACAAAAAACTAATCAGTTTCTATTGTTTCTGTTTTCAACAAATCAAAACAGAAGGTCCCGACTGTGTTTCTTGGCCTGTTTTTTCAAGAAAAATAAAAGGGAACTAGCGAAAAAAAAACCTGGGAAATGTTTTCAATACTGAATTAAAGCCTAAAAGCAAAAATTCAGCTAATTTAGAAAAAAAAAATTAAACCGAAACTTATCCCCTTTTGTCACCAGCGTCTTCGATTGTAGTTTAATTGAGTTTCAGAATGCCCTTGTTTCCCAGCCCTAAATATTCTTAGGAGACAAACGAAATTCTGGTGTAACCTGGCAACGGATTTCACGTACATCATAACCGTTTGGTGACAGTTTAATCACCTAGATTTAGTTTAGGCAACAGTATGGTAAAGCAGATAAAATAACTGTTACTCAATACTATCAAAAACGTTCCAACATGACTCCTTCTTTTTTTTCTTTCTCAGCAAAAAAGACAAAAAAGCAATGCTTTGTGAGCTATAATATACCAACAGAAAACATGCTTCTGGGCTTGGTAGAGCAGAGAATTAACAAGGAGATCAACGATAAACCTCAGCAGTTCTAAATGTGGTCAGAACGTTTATAGAATGCTGCACAAAATACACCTGCTAAATCACACGTTAGGTGAATCTCACATCTGTGAGGCTAAAACTTCAACCCAGGGCCAACGTGAGTTATCAGAGGCAATTCTCGTGTATTGCTCACACAGGGTTCATGCGGGTCATGGAAAACCTGGAAAGTCATGAAATTTATCAATTATTTCATTTTCTAGGTCTGGAAAGTCATGGAATGTAATATGTTTGGTAGATTGGTTAATGCATGTCACAGCAAGGACAATAAATTTAAGATAGGGATGAATAATTAAACAGCAGATATGAAATGCCTTTTGGTGGACACCAGAGATTGTTTGTTGAACTGAGTTAGGTAAAAAAATATTGCTAAAACAAGAATAGTTTTGAAAATTTTTGGAAGCGAGCGCTAAACCTAAGGTCATGGAAAACTAGAAAGTTCATGAAAATACTCATGGAAAGTTGTGGAATTTGAGGAGCTCAAAAATCAATAGTCAAGAACCCCTGGTATATGATCCACAGTTAGCTCTCTGTAAGAGAAACTGTTAGAACTGTTAGGTGGCCATCTTGGAGAGTTGTTAGCCCACAGAGAGTCAAGTAAAGTATAAGAACAGTAGGGTCCAAGTCTAAGTGTTTATTTTTATCAGGACAGTGTCCATGTTATAGAAGTGACTGTATCAGGAAGCTAATTTTAAAGAATGTTTGTCACAGTCTGTGAAACTGCAACGTCCTCGCAGGTCTTAATGATAAAAGAAAATTTCCAATTAAAAATTCTTGTTTTTATGAAAAAGACCTTTGCATGCAGAAGTGAAGAGCTTGTGATCTAGTGAAAACAGTGTTCTGATTCTGCTTACGACTCCATCACTTACATTCTGCTTATGATCAAGTGAAAACCAGGGGCCAATTCAAGAACACTTTTACAAGCGTAATTTACAAGTGTGGCTATTGTTTTAAAGTCTGAAAACAATAGCCACACTTGTAAATTACACTTGTAAAACTTTTATTAAATTAACCTCAGATTGTTGGAGTCGCAAGCATAAGTGGAAGAACTAAACCAATCACAAGGCGTCGGATCGTGCGTTATGATTGGTTTATCCTTCTGCTCCTTCTTCCGACTCCAACAATCTGGTTTTCACTGGATCATAAGTGGAATGTAAGCAATGGAGTTGTAAGCAGAGTCGGAACAAATGGAAACGTTCTGGTTCTTCTGACTCCAATCCCATGGCTCTTATGACTCCACTTACAACTCCAATTTTTGATTTAGACTAGGTCATGAGCACTCTTACAACTCCGCTTATGACTTCGACACTAGTGAAAAGCAGCCTCGAGGCCCTGAAGCCGAGTGGACCGTATTATTTTAAAACTATGAATATTTTGCAATAATTTACATAACATTTAAATAACCATTTACAGTTAGTGAACCATTGTGATCCCCAATATTATTTTGTAAACATGCAAAGTGTATTCTCCAAACAAGCAAAGTTGTCTTCTGAGCAGCTGGAATTCCACTTGTCTGCCAGTTGCTCTCTATCAGTAACAGTTAAAAGATTATGAGACAGATCCAGCTTATTCAAACAACCAAGGTTTTGAGATGCCAAAGTTCTAAAAGAATCAAAAAATGTCACACCAAGAGGAGACTTCACTCCACACGCTGACAAATTCAGTGTTTGAAGTGTTCTGCTGTCCTTAACAGCTGTTAATAATGATGCCGCTTCGATAGTTCCCACGTCTGTATTTCCAGTGAGAATGAGACTTGATAGTTTGGACCCAGTTTCATTCAATAGCCTAAAGGAAAAAAAATACCCAAAAGATAAAGAGGATATTCATTTAAAAGCAGAACATTCTCATGCATATCATTTTGTGTGCTACGGCCACTCATAAAGTAATGAACTTTGCTCTTCTAAACGCGACATTAGACCTTTAAAACTTGGGAAAGTGGTCTTATTTTAAAGCATAGGCCTGCATATATTTTTTTTAGAAAAAAAGAAATTATATCTGACCAGATCACTGATCTAGTTGGAAAAACCAGAGACATTGTCAGACATGATGCTTCAGTATTGATCTGTCTGGCCACCTTGTCCCTACTCTGGTAGGCATCAGATGTTACTGAAAATGGGGAACAGGAACCAGAGCATGAATAAGGGTGTTCATTGGGTATCAGTTATCGGAAAATTCTCCGGCAAATGTTTGGTAGACTATGGCTATTTTTTTATTCAGACGTGAAGCCCCTTTCAAAATATTCTCCTGTAATGTTATTACTTTCTCCTGTTACTTGAATTCTTAGTGAAAACCATGAAAAATGAAAAATGAGAACAAAACCTACCTTGAACCTTAGCCCTATCAGTAACTTCACTTCCAATAGGCCATTTTACAGTTAAGGATGGAAGCGAAGGTGAGGGTGACCTTGTTTCGATACAAACCTTCTTTGCTTTGTTATGGAAATTGTTCTTGAAAAATACTAGTAAGCATAAGAATAACTTGATTTACATAATAAAGCAGGAAGGTTTGTATCAAAACAAGGTCACCCTCAGCCTTGCTTCCATCCATAACTGTAAAATGGCCTATTCTCTGTTTTTTCCCATTTTCATTTTCTCACTCCCCAAGCTCATTCCCTGCTACCTGTTCCCTGTTTTAGTGACATCTGGTGGGCATTAAACACAAACAAATATTTGTTGGACATTTTCTAGTGACCGAATCTGGTTTACAGCTCTGATAACAGGGAAAAAAGTCCAGTCCTTTGTTTAATATCTTAGAACATGTCCATAAAAAAGAAACACAAAGCTCTGTAAGACTAACCTTGCAAGTAAAGGAATCCCATTCTTTCCAATGTTATTGCAACTCAGATTTAAATGCTGCAGTCCAGTGGTCATGCGTCTGGCCTTCAGTAAGGACTCTAGCAGTTTGTCATCAATGTGACAATCCTCGAGAATCAGATCAGAAAGAACACAGGTTTCCCCCTGAAAAAAGGAAAAATACTCCTCTGTGACATAGAAAATAGGAATTTATTATATATCAACTGTTGTCGAGGAAATCTAATAGAAACACAAGTTGGTAGCTTAGGTGGCTTTAACTGACTTTCTAACAACCATTTTGAAGTCGAAGGTAATAAAAATACCAAAAGATACATGTCCACTCATAAGCAGGCAGCATGGCTGAGCGGTTAGGGCGATGGACTTGCAATTCGGAGGCCCGAGTTCAAGTCGCACCCTGACTGCTAGTTGGATTTGTTCTCGGTAGTTCTGAGTTCAAATCCTCGACCACGCTGTAAATTTTCTACTGGTTTACCTCCGGCCAGTTGGGATTCTTAACCCTATTATGTTTGATTTAAATTCTTAGTTATTTGTTTCAGTCACTTGCTTGACCCCACTAGCATTAGTGCTATAAACACTGCCAAAGGTAAATAACGGACATTTAGTTTATTTTCTTATTTATTTTAGTAAATCAAGTTTAGTTGATTTTCACTGAGGTGGACGATTAACCTAGCAACAGTACTACTAAATGCCCTTAAATAAATGCCCTTAATTTCAGTTTTGGGTTCTTACAGACACTAATCAATTCTAGTGAGCACCATTTTTTTATAATAAACGTTTCACAAGGTATGCCAAAAGTTGTATGGAGGGAGCTCAGAACCACCTTACCTGTGCCAAAAATTTTTTAAATAAAAATGTAATATTTAGTCATTTGATCATGCACACAGTATAATGATTTTCTGATGAAATGGATGAATTAAGTTCATCACTTTGCCTCATTGCCTTATTAAGCTTATCAAAATTCATACCTAGTTCCAAGGCTGAGAGGAAGAATACAAAAGAAATCAATTATTAATCTCTGAATATCAATGTGATTTCTAATTTTGCTGATTACATGATGTTTTTGCCCGAGTTATTCAGCATTAATTTCAACTTAAAATTATTCACATACTTCCATGAAATCAACCAGATTTGTAAGTCCTTGATTTCCTGTTTCATCCATGGTTGAGCTCATATTTAAGTGACGCAGTGACCCACATGGAAGTGCCATAATTAAGTTTCCTATTCCTTGAGAACCAAAGGTATTGTATGCCACGGAGAGATGAATCAGATGAGAAGCTAACAGTAGGGACACAAATAAACAACGATTAGGAATGCTTTTTAGATTAATAGTGGTAATAGCACTGAGCGGAGTTCAATTTGGGTGATTAACAAAATCGGACTTAATCAAGAATGAGTATGATTACAAACTGAAATGAATGACTTGATGTTCTGTTTCCAATTAATCAATAACCATAACAAAATATGGTCAGAAATCGGAACATTTCTAGTAGACTCATTAAATTATGCGTATTTTCATGGTGAATTATCACATTCGCAAAAGCAAGCCGTAATAACTTTAATTGAGAAAAAGGACAAAGATAGGAGATGGATAAAAAACTGGAGACCGATTTCCCTGGTAAATGTTGATGTTAAAATTGGCTCAAAAGCTATCGCTAAAAGGCTAGAAAATGTCCTACCACATATTATCCATTATGACCAGAATGCCTTTGTAAAAGGACGAACAATTTTGATGCAACTAAATCACGATAAGCGATGTGTTGGAATTTACTAAAATCTTGAGACTACCAAGGTATAATGACTGCAATTGATTTTGAGAAAGCCTTCGATTCTCTAAATTGGAACTTCCTCCACAAATCGCTAGAGTTCTTTGGCTTTGGAGAATCCTTCTTGGGGTGGATCAAGACGTTTTATAATAATATATCAAGTTGTGTTTTCAATAATGGTTTTTCCACCCCTCTTTCAATGTTAAACGGGTGTTCGCCAGGGCGACCCACTCTCGCCATCTCTTTTCATAATAGTACTTGAATTATTGGCATTATCCATACGTAATAACGATCAAATTAAGGGTATTGAGGTGGATGGTTCCGAAATCAAATTAGTTATATTCGCTGACGATATGACATCATTTGTTAGGGACAAATTTTCGCATCGCACCCTTTTTGATACTATCGATCTGTTTAGTACATACTCCGGATTGAAGGTCAATCACGACAAAACGGAAATTCTTCTACTAGGAAGTATGGAAGTAAACAGCTCAGAACTAGGTGTTAATGAAATAAGTAAGGCCATAAAGATCCTAGGGGTTCATTTCATCTTTAATCACGCACTGTTTTATAAGCTTAACTTTGAATCAATCGAGAAATCTCTGAGGGGATTGCTGAAGAGCTGGAGCTGGAGAGGTCTTACACTACTTGGAAAAATTCAAGTGATCAAGTCTTTCGCCATACCAAAGATTTTATACAGGGTTGTTCTCATTTCAAATAAAGAAGAGTTTATCAAAAAAATAAATACTTTGCTATATTCCTTTGTTTGGAAGGGAAAAGATAAAGTAAAGCGCAGAGCTTTTATTAACCCTATTGATAAAGGAGGCTTGAAAATGCCTAACATTGAGTCCATGATCTCTGCCCAAAGAATAATTTGTATTAAGAGATATCTCTCCATTGACCCCGCTGGCTGGAAGTTTTTTCTGGATTTTTATCTTAAGAAAGTAGGGGGAAAATTCTTGTTTCATTGCAATTTTAACTACACTAAACTACCGGTAACTCTTCCAGAATTTTACAAAGAATGCATTGTGGCGTGGACCCTTTTAAATGAAGACAACCCCTCCTCATCCTCTGAAATAGCAAATCAGGTCATATGGAACAACCAGTTTATTTGTATTGAATCAAAGTCAGTCTATAACAGTAGGCTGATTGATCTTGGAATTGTAAAAATTGGAGACCTCTACGACACGTGGGGAGGTTTCAAGTCGAACAAGGAACCATTATATTCAACTCTCTCACCAGTTGAACATTTTCTACTTTTCAGTCTCTTCAATGCTTTTCCTGAAGAATGGCGCAAAATATTAAAAACAAATAAAAACTCTATCTCTTCAAAAACTCATGATCTAATCCAAACTGATTTCAAGTTGCGTATTGAAGGGAAAAAAGTCAATTTCCAAAATCTTAAATCAAAGTCATTATATGACAGTTTTGTTTCTAAGATATCCAGTATACCAACAGCGCAAAAGAAATATAACGAAGCTTTCAGCACACACACATTTCAGTCAATTACATCATTCTTGAAAGCAAATATTTTATTTACCGCTGTAAGTTAAATAAGGGCTGTTTATGTGTAAGACTGTTAGTCGATAAATTTAAAAAAACGTTTCAAAGCGAACGTTTTATCGCGAAAAGAAACAACAAAATCCATTTCCATGATAAAAAATGGAAGCCGTTACTCCCATTAATACAACAGTAGCTGTTATCCAAACTTCGTTTTTCTAATACTCCCTGTATTACTCTGTATTTTAAGTTCAAGTCGAATAAGTTATGTAAGCGTTGTAGTGTAGTGCAGTGTAGCTTTTTATTTATTTATTCTTTTTTCTATTTTTTTTTTTTTTTTTGTAATTAAGGTAGTTGTTGTAAATTTTGTAATGTTTGTATGTTTCGATCTGTATGTTGTTTGTACTATACCTGTAAAAAGAAAATAAATAAATAAAATACAAAAAAAAAAAATAACAAAATATGAGATAATCTGAGCTTTTTAAAAATTGAGATATTTACCTTTCAGAGCTAGAGCAAACTCTTTCCCTTGAGCGGCAAGTTGACCAGTAAGACCACATGATTCAAGTTTTAGAGCATTTAGAATGGGACATCTTTTGAGAATAACAGCCAATGAACTGCCACAACTGTCTCCCAGCCAGTTGTAGCTGATGTTGAATTCTTCAAGTTTCTGAAGAGGGGTCTCCTACAATACAAAAGAGTAACACGTCAGGCTACCGTAAAATTCCGAAAATAAGCCCCTCCATGTATAAGCCCCTCCAAATAAAACCCCCCCAATCTGGTCACACAAAAAACCCTCCGTTAAATCGCCCCTCCAAATTAAAGCCCCGCGGGGGCTTGTACTTGGAAAATTGCCCTCAAATACAAAGTAAAACAAAGCAAAAACGGTAAATTTACTTCCAACTATATGGTTAGCCCAATCGATTGTAAAACACAAATTTCCCTCCGTAGATAAGCCCCTCCGAATAATTTTTTTAAGCCCCTCCAAAAATAAGCCCCTCAAAAAGGGCCTTTGAAAAATATAAGCCCCGGGGCTTATTTTCGGAATTTTACGGTATTTCTAAAATAAAGTTTGCTGCAAATATTTAGGCTCGAGTTTGTGTATGAGGAAAACACAATCCCATAAAAACAAACTCTGGACAATGTGAGTTGAAGCCACATGTACAAATCTACACAAAATTTGGCGTAAGTCAGTGTGATTAGTGTGTAACCTACTTTCATTTGTGTAATTACGCCCTTTGTTTCAAACCATTTGCTATGTTCTTGCTTTTTATTTCATGGTTGCAAAAGGCGGGAGCCATGAGCTTATTTGGCAGAGTGGGGCATGATGGACAATTACCCTTTAAACTTGATACCTGTTGTGTGTCTGTCCTTGTTGAATCTCTTGCAGCTAATGCATTGGCAATAAGGGACAGCCCTTTATGCGTGATTCCGTTGGAAGTCAAGTCCAACATAGCGAGGGAGGGGAGGGTGGGAATTGCTGATATCAAATGCTGAACACCAGAATCACCTGTAACAAATAAAAAAATGATGTCTTAATAAACTTACATACAAAAACTACAGAAATTGAATCAAAAACTAAGATTTTTAAGGTGGTACCAAATTTAAGGTTTTAAAGCTTGCTAAAATAATAAGCCTGGGCAAAATATTTTTCACCATTCACCAATTTTCAGTGGCAAATAAGTCCTGAGTTCATTAAGCCAGTTCGTTTTTGTATTTTTATATTCTTCAGATGTATAACAGAATGATCTCCATTTAACACCCCCCTTGACAAAACAACATTTGAATTTTAACGCTCTTTGCTAAGAAGTAAATATTTGCCTATATTTTTGGAAAATTCCCTCATGGATACGTTTCCCTCAATGTGGGATCCCTAGGAACTCCCGCATCACACACAATGCCACTGAAAAAGATGAGCCATTGCATGATAACCTTTGCCCTGTTTTTCACACAGTAGTGGTGGATAAGGACGAGACCGGTACTTACCTATTCTGTTGCCAGGCAACATGAGCTTAGTAAGTACATCATTGCATTGTAGCGCTCTGAATAGTGGGAGTACATGGACATCTTGCAAAGCTTTGTTTGATAAAGTAAGGCTTGACAACTGAGGATCAGCTTCAAGGATGGATAGAACATCTGGTCTTGTTGCTAGTCAATTTAAATAGTAAATTATCTATTAGACCAAGACTAGCAAGGGAACATTATAGCCTAAAATTTCTTTTCTCTTTTCATTTGCATCCTTATCTTGCAGGCTTTTGATGTCAGAATGTCAGGATCTACATCATGGACTACTATTACAATTTTCAAAACCAAATAAGAGACAAAAAGTGTTTCATTTGGAGTTGTAAACACATAAAAAATACTGAGGAAATTACGAGACCGAATCCCTAGCACTTTTGTTTTAGAATGTTTGATAATTTCGACGAATCAAGAGCAAGCTGCGAGTACGCATGCTTAAGAAGAAACCGAATAAAGTCAAGGAGATTCACCTGCAGTTTACTCAAAAAAACAAATTTTTTATACAACATGGGTGACAAAGTCAAAGTTTTCCTTTATTATTGGCCCATGAGACATTGAGCCCTGACTCACCCTCATGGATGTCAGATCAGTAAAAATGCCATCCGCAAAGGAGCCTACTAGATAAATCATTACACAGAAAATTTATTTTCTTAAAAATATATTGAACTATGTGTTATACAAACTAATAAATCAACTTACCTGTATTTGTGTTCATGCAAGCGTCACGGTACCTCTCAGACAAGGTAGGCAGGTCCCACGATTCCACAGAAGCTATAACTTCCTCGTTACTTGAAAGTACATCAACAATTTTGTCCTCTGGGGACATAAAGGCTCCCTCACTTGTTTTTAACGCTAAAACAGGTCGCAACCCAACACTGGAAAAATATCGAAGTGAGGCCTGAAAATGCAGACGCAGATAAGTTAATGCTCATGTGACCCGCCAGCATCTGAACAGGCTCCAGACTGACAATTCTTAATGGCAAGAAATGTGATTTTTCCCAGCAACCATCAGCCCATAAATGAACTCACAAAGGCCACGTCTATAGAAACCGATACATTTCCCTTTTTGGAGGTCCATTAACACCATTTAGCACTAAAATGTGACTACAGGCTATTAACTGTCTGTTTTAGTGAAACTGCCACACAGATGAGTCATCAACAAAACCAGAATTAAACTGAGCCTTTAGAAAGAACTGCACATATTTACAACCCTTTTCTGGATGAAATTAATGACCTTTGATTTAAATATAAAGAGGGTGATAAACAAGACATAAAGTGTCATAAAATATCCAACTTTTTTTTGTCATTTATTTCCCTTTGAAAAAATGGAATTCTCTATGTGTTTTACAATGAATGGAATTCTCAATGTGTTTTATAATGCCCTTCTATCTTATGGCATGAGGAAAAAAGAACAACTGAAACATTCACTACCTGCTCAGCTAGCCAACCAATATTCTTGCTTTCCTGTTGATTACTCCGTGGACAGGGGATCAAGAACACCTTGTCTTGAACCCGTACTCTAAGGCGCATGGGTGGGGTACCTGCTTGCAACAGACCTAGCCTGGAAGCTATATCAGGGGAATAAGTTCTTGGGGTTCCTGTTGTAACATTGGTAATATTGACATCTGATCTGGCAGTCACTGGAGATGAAGCATTATTCACCATTGAATGAGAAGAGAATGCAGTTTGACATGTTCTGGGTTCCTTTGATACAGGTAATTTTGCTTGTTTTGGCCTACTAAGGCTTAGGCCAGGACTACGTCTTGAAATTGTCGTGGGTTTGGATTTTTTATTGTTTAGCCCAGGCCGAGGCATTGCAGCAGTTGACCGCCTCTGTACAGTTGATCCACTTGTTAGCTTTGTTTGCTTTGCTGGGCGCTTACGCTTTGCAGGTTTTGGCCCAACATCATCTACAAGCCATGCAGTATTGCATTCCAGTAAAAGGCCACTCACTCCAGTTACAGGATCCACATAAGATGAATGGAAAGTATTTCCATTATTTTCATCAGCTACTGTAGCCATTTCAACCGTGTTCTCAGAGTCTGAAGATGCATAAGGGCAATCGACTTGCACAAAATCATGTCCTTCATAGTCACTACCATCAGAAAACGTTTGAATACCCTCACCATGGTTTCTATAACTGTTCTGTGAATTACTCGGATGGCCAACAGGCCTATCACTATAAGACAAGCTTTCTATCTCATCTTCATCCTCATTTACAAAAATTTGTTGTTGACTTAATCTTTTTGTTGGACTTATTTCCAGGTCCTCTGAATGGTTCTCTTCACACAAATTCTTATTCATTCTTCTCAACCTTTCCTGCTCTTTCTTTTTTAACTTCTCATTAAATCTTTGTAAAGTACTTGAAGCTGTATCCTCTTTATCTTCTTGTTCATTATCCTCACCATGAATAACATTTCTTCTCCTTATCCCAGAACAATCCCCTTGCACTAAGGATTGCCTTAAAAATTTGACTACTTTTTTTCGTCCTTTTGTATACTCATCATCATCTTCACCAGCATTCCCCTTAAGAGCTGCCTCGGCAGCATCTAATGCTGTACGTCCCTGGTAACAAAATAGATATACAGGTGCATTAGTCTTGAGCATTTCCATTGAGTTCCTACGAATAAATTCTAAGAATTAACTTTCAAAAACTGTCCAAGACCCGATCTTAATCAAGTATGTCTACTTAGGTGATCTTATGGCCTTTTAATTACCGGTAATTGCCATGGTAATGGACAGACAGTGGTAGCCCTTTGTTGAACGTAAAGTACGATGACACACAACCAAGTGCAAACCACACTCTGAGCATCTTGGGTTAGATCCAACAATGTGAATGTTGATTCATTTGTATAATATTAAAAAGACAACCAAGAGCAAAAACCTAATACTAATCAAAAATGGAATGAGCTCGGAACAAAATGAAAGTAAAAACTGGGAAGACCTTTAAGTCCAACATGACATACCCATAATGATGAACTGAAGAATCAATAATTGCAAGATTGTCAGTGATTGGTAAAATGATGGTTGTGGGTTGTGTTTTAGTTCTGCCCACTTCCATTTGTTACTGTTATGGACAGCAGGCATAAAAGTTGTACAATGAATTGACCAGGCTATTTTTCTGTTACATTTAAAGTTACATTTTCTTTTTCATCCTTTTTGACAATTAAAAACAACAATTATACACTTTTTTTATAAGAATTTGCTTTGCAAAAATGTTGAGGTTGAAATTTGCAAAATTTTGAAAATATTAGAGGATTTTTTTGGGGGGGAAAGGGGGTTCTTAAAATTTTTTGTAGGGAAAAGGGATATGAAAAATTACACCCCCTGCCCCCCTTTCTACAGTATACATACTGAATGCAGCCTTACCAAATAAAAAAGGGGGTCTCAGCTGTGACAAAGTAAAATTTGGGACAGCTATCAAAATTTTTGGCTTATAACTTTCGTATTAAGCACTATACCAGAGAGAGAGCAAACTTACATTGTTATCCTTAAGATTGATGGAAGCACCATGTGCCAGTAAAAGTTTCACCACTTCAATATGCCCATTGGCTGCGGCATCATGAAGGGGTGTCACACCAGAACAATGCTCACCACTCTGATCGTTTGCATTTGATCCTGCCATCAGTAGCATCTCTACTATGGCTGAAGTGAACAAAATGGATACATAACATACAAATATATGTTGAGAAACAAAGTTCATTCTTTCCAGGAAAGTCGCTAAAATAATTATTTATGACATTTATTAGCCTTATGGACTTAACTGTCTCACAAACCTGTATGTCCATGGTTGCTGGCTTCATGAAGGGGTAGCCAACCACAATAATCCCTTGCATTTACGTCAGCTCCCTTAAGAATTAAAAATGATATTTAATAAAAATGTTTACAGCAAGATTACTTCCATGATGCATTTATTGCAATGACTGGAATACAGGTTAGAGGTGAATTTGCACCACTGTGGGTGCCCAAATCTTTCTATAAGTGACAAGCTTTAACATTGTCTGGTACGTTAGGAGTGTATTGCTCACTGGGCCAAAAAAGCCAGGAAATGTTTGTGCTCTGTTGCTAATAACCAGCATTGCATAAATTATCATGTACCAGCAATGGCTTACAATAGACTTGATGCCTCTCATCAGGGGTGAAAGCAGTTGAAGCCATGTACATTGAAAAGATATCCTAGTAGCTATACTGATTTGTTTTGAAATCTTTTAATGGAGCATTCACAGTTGGCTTTTCACAGCTTATATTCTACCCCAGGACCAACGCCTAGTGAAAGCTTGATGTTAAAGAACAGCAGAAACAAATTACCCATACCTTTTCTAACAGTGATTTGACTCGCTGTATATTCCCAGCAATAGCAGCCTCATGCAGTGGAGTCTCACCTTTCTCGTTTACAAGTTTGCGCTGCAAGCAGAAGGATAAATTGCACTTAAGAATAAATGAACCTCCAGTACACAGACTGATGCGAGTAACTGAGGCTAAGAAAACCAGTGAATAATCTAGGTTATCTATTGTTTGTCTTCAACAAACCTGTTTTCTTCTTAGTCTTGATGAAACTGGATTATTCCTCTTTCTGGGACCGACCTCTTCTTCATCATCATCACAATCATCATCTAGAACAGAGGAAGGAACAAACAAACAATCATTACCCTATTTTCCCTCCAGACAAAAAAAGAAAACAACAAGTAAAACAACACTCCTTAAATATTACTCAGCAGGTACATTTAATTTTTTTGGCCATTCTCAAAACAACTGCATCTAGGTGATGCCAGGACAGCAAATACAGTGCAAAGTGAATTTCCCAATATTTTTGTTTCTAACCAAGTTGACCCTTATCCACCTCAGGATAGTGCAGCTGAAACATTTATGTGAACTGCTGTAACATTAACAGGTTGTAGTCTCAAACGGGAGTCATTGCAAAGGAAAATATGCTTAAAAACCCAATATAATACCACTTACCTGAATCAGAAAGAAGAAGTTCTTTTTCTATTAGGTCATCATCATCATCATCCTCAATGCTATTCCTCTCTTCATCATCATCATCAATCACATTTCCCATACTTAACTGATTTTCAAGCTCTGTAACCTTGTCAAATGACTTTTTCCAATCATCTTTCTGGTTTAGAATTTTCTGTGTGTCAGCCAGGCATTTCCAAACTCTCAGCTGTGACACAGAGTTCAAAGATAATCACTTCCAGTTTTAATAACACTACAAGTAACAAGCAAGTAGCAAGCAAGGAAAACAAATGTTGGATTTGCCAGGGATAAAAGGAGGAGACGATTGAGGCTGATTACCATTAGGGTGTAAAGAGTTAACAAAATCTACACCAGCCTGAGATTCTTGGAATCTACCCACCCTTCCCTCCCCTAACCCAATGTTAACACTAACTCCTTTAATAGGACAAAATGTTGGATTAGGGGAGGGGTATGAGGGACGTTTCACAATTATATGTATTGTTCCACAAATCCTACCACGGAAGAGAGCTTGCCAGACTCCTCAGCATATCCCAGTGCCCTATTGTAAGCATCTTTGATTTCATCATATTCGTGTCCTGCCTTCTCATGAACATAAGCAATATTACACCAAGTGTCACACATCTGTCATGAGGAGTTTAGAAAAAACAAAGAGTCAGGACACAAGACAAGAACACAATGTTAGAAAAAAAAAGAGAACTGCAACAAGGATTTGTGGTTACAACAATGGAGTCCATCAATAATTATTTAATTCAGGTGTCAATGTATTTACATACTTGTAGTTTTTTATGTACATGCCTACACCAGTTAGCTGCTCGTGGCAGGTGACCAACTCGAAAGCTTAAGCTCCTTTGGTCACTGCGCACATTTAACCTTTGATAATTTATGTAATTTGTTCTGTTATTTTTCTTACTTTAGTAATGTATTGTAATTTTTGTAGTAACTTCTTGCAATGGTGCAAAAAATTAAAAAATCTGAAATCTGTTCACTGAGAAAGACGTTTTTACAAAGGAACCACTTCTTTTGCATTGTCATCCAAGCACACAAAAGGTTTAGCTGTTAACAACGAAAAGGCAGCAGTTATAATTCTCATTTATGGCTCACCTCTTTGTAATTGTCCTCCTCCATTATTTCCAACTCTTCCATGTAACAGTTGATGGCATCAGCCGGACACTTTAGATCAAAATAAGTTATTGCTAACGAAACATATATTGGTGATAGCTCCTTATGAGACTTTCCTGCCAATTTAGCCAGCTCAAGCTAAAAATAGATCAAGAACTGATTTTAAGGAAATGAAATCAATACATCCATAATCAAACCAAGACTAGTAGTGAAAAATGATAATGATGATGATAACTATGATGTTAATGATAGTGATAATGATAACAATAAAGATTAACTCCAGACTATATACAATTGACTCGAACCCTCACTATCTCCAACCTCGCTTTAACTCAAACCAAAATCGAGTTCCCCTGGTTTTCTGTCATACATTTACTGTAATTTTACCCTCGGTAACTCGAACCCTTGATGACTTGAACCTCCCGCTAACTCGAAGTAGTTTTTCTTTTCCCTCAGATCATTTCTATAGGAAACATGGAAGTGCAGTTGGGAAGTGGAACAAGATTTTCATCAGATTTTTCAGGTCAACAAAGGACACAAGGGGCATGGATCCACATGGGTGGTTATGGGCGGTTCAGGTCTGAAGTGGTTAAGGTTTATGACCTTGTGAGACCAAATGACAGAGAGTTAATATACCTCTTTCTTGTAGCAACCAAGAGCTTTTTGGAATGCTTTTGCCTTGCAGTAGAGGTCCCCAAGTGTATCCAATATCTTCAATTGTTCATCCAAAGGATATTCCGAGAGTTTTGCATGTTTTCTTTGAAATTTGATTCCCTTGATAGCTGAGACAAAAACAACACACAACAAACAGGTAAACATACCTCTATCTGACAATACTTCATGACTGTATTTTACAGGGTTCATATTCTTTTGAGCTCTTTAAATTCCATGACATTTTCCATGACCTTAGGTTTAAATGAAACAAACATGGCGGCGAAAAAGCAACGGTACACAGAAGACTATTTCTCAAAATTTATTCATTAGAATTTTGTGATATTTGGCAGAATTTTTCCTTTTATCGTATTTTAAGTAATGACAATTTTAAAATGGAAGTTAAACAGACGAATTTTGTGACACATTTAATAATTACAGTACAATTAAATTATTGATTATCTAAAAACCTGTCTGTTAAAATTTGGTCAAATAAGTTTCAAATGGTAATAATAAATTATAGAAAGCTGTGTGAAAGTTAATAAGAAAATCTAATGAGCGAATTTTATGTAAACTGGGAAAAAGTGAAATTTTAAGGTTGTATTCAATCGTTTATGTTGCCATGGAAACTACGAAAACATCAATTTTTACCTGTCAATCAAAATCTTTTATCAGTACACTTTTCACTTGCCAAGTTTCAGCTTGTGAGCAGCAACCTTTCTCTTGCCATGATTTGGCAAATGACATTAATCACAAACTGTCACTTTTGAAATTTTTCAAAAATACTTGCCCTTCTTGTTTCACGGTATTTTTTGACCTAACTTAGTGCAACAGAAACCAACTCTGTTGTCCACCAAAATGGATGCTGATGGCGCTGTTTACTTACTTGTCTCTACCCTACTTTCTCCTTGTTTGGTCATAAACAGTAACTTAACTATCAAAGGAAACTATATAGTTATTACTGTCATAGGAATGTGTGCATGTATCCAGCCAATATAAAAATATTACCTGTAGCCAAATTAGATTTAATTTCCTCCATATCATCCGACCTTTTGGCTTTATTGATCATGTAAGCTTTCTTTAAATTTTGACGACCAGCTGAAAATTCCCCCAGTTTCAAGAAGATCTAAAATAGTGGGAGAAAGAAGGCTTTTAGTTGTGTTATTGTTTGAGTTGTTCGTATGTTCCTTTAAACTAACTAGAGTAGCTATATGTCCATTGATTCTACTTCATAAAGAAAACATTTATGTCTCACTGCTGAAGATTCAAAACCTTCACTGGTTAAACATTTTGTAATAATGAAAAGCTTCTGACTGTTTGACCTTCTGGCTACAGTCTTCGAAAACACTGTTGGCCAAAAACTTGAAGCTTGTATTTATTTGGAACATTTTCAACCAAAGGACATTAAATGTATTACTCGCTCACTACATGTTGTATGAAGTACCTTCCCCAACATGTTCAAAGCATCTGCCTCATCAAATTTTTTGTTTCCATGTCTGGCCACTTGCAATGCCTGCTCAAAACGTCTCAATGCATGTGCATCTGCATCAGATTTCATGTGAACACTTCCAATAGAAAACAAGCACCTGTATTCTGTGTCTTTAAGACTTTGGTCCCTAGGCAAACAACAAGCAAAAAACTTAAGTTTCAAAAAGCTTATGCAAAGAAGAGTCAATAGGATTCAAGGTGGCTCCCCTTAAGACAACTCTATTTATAACAAAAAACTTTTAGCATTTCATAACCTATTTCTGCCACTAAAACATTCTCACAAAAACTCATAGTAGAAAGACAGGGGCTATCATGTTTTCCTGCCAAAATGTCACTGATTTACGAGCGAGTAGTACCTATTATGGGGAAATCTACTTGTAGTAATCTACTTGTAGTAATCCTTGTTTTATAATCTAAAAGTTAGTAGTGACAGCCCTGCTTAAACTGAGACTGAGGCTAGAAACTTACCGAGCAATGATCAAGGCTTTCTCCATAAAACTCTTAGCTCTGGTAGAATCATTCTGCGTGTCATATGTAAGACCAAGGTTCAAATACAATCTTGACCTCATTTCCAACAGCTCTTTTTCTGAGACATATTCTCGTAGTTTGTCGCAAACAGACAGGCTCTTTAGATAGGCTTTCTGAGACTCAAGCAAGCATTCCTCTACTTCATTGGTGCTAGCTGCATCATCTGAATGAACAAACCATGTACGACCAATGGTTGCTAATGCCCTCTGTTCTTCTACAAGGCTTCCAGCAGATTGAGCAAGCTTTCCAAAAGAAAAGAAAAGAAGGGAGAGTTTGTTTAGACATCCATTTTGAATACCTATTTTCAGTAAACAATTGAGGGAAATCTCATTTAATTTAAATTGGAAAGGATTGGCCTTTTAAAATCTTATTTGATTGCAGTCCCTTAAAATTCACTTCCTTTTTTGTCCAGCTTGCTTTTTCCATACCAACACTATCATCTGTGATAATTACCAGTAACATTATTATTGAATAAGGTTGTGTATGATGTGAGGAATTATGAAGAACGGGAAGGGTGTTATTTCGGTATCACTGAATAACAGCTTCAGTGATCTACATAATCCTTCATTTCATGCCAAAGCCATGCAAAAATATTTTTTTGCCTATCAGCATGCAGACAAAAGCTTTAGTGATAGCTTGTTCTTTCTGAATATGCCAACCAATCCTTAATTCCACAAATTTCAATTTTTATGACATCAAACTTCTCTTGTCTATTATTCGGCAATTTTGTAGTGGGTAGCGATGAACTCACTCATGCCAAAATAGCTAGCCTCTACACCAATGCCTGGGAACAAGATTTATATTAGGGCAATATACCCTCATATTGATATTGCTCACATCTTCCAAACATAGCACCACCTAGTTGTGAAGAATCAGCCAATTAGAAACGGCAAAATATTTTGAATGATAGAATTTTTGCAAAATGCGTCGCTGTTTCCTGCTGTGATTACAAACAAGTAACAGACCTTTAAATTGCGTTTTTTTTTTTTCACTTTTGACATGGACAAGTTCGGCAAAATCCGTCAACACCACTGAAACGAGTGTCTTAAGATTAGTAAAATTGCGAAGTTTGAAAGTTATTTGTTAAAAACTAACGAAGATATAGCTTCTCAAACTCGCACAATTTTACAGATGTTTGTATGGTGGTGGGGGGGGCACAAACTTGCCCTCTACCATACAAACATCTGTAAACTTTTGCAACTTTGCCAAGCAATATCTTAGCACTCATTCCAGCGGTGTCAGTGGACTTTCCCTATTACTTGTCCATGTCAAAAGTTAAAAAAACTGTACAAGGTCTACAACAACTGATAATAAGAAATTATTTAACAATTATTTCTTGAGCCTAAATGGACTTTGAGTCAATGGCCCATGAGGCTACTAGGGGGCTATAACATATAGCCTAGTAGTAGCTCAACCAATCAGAACGCAGCATTGATAATAGACCACTAGTTGGATTTTACTAAATGAGATTATGCCAGACTTTTGGACTATAAGTTTGCATGTATTCAAAAAAACAGAGTAAAGTGTGTTGAATAGGGCAGAGGAAAGAAGTGGACTCCTGCCTCTTAAAATTGCCATGATTCCACTATACCTCAAGGTGTAAATTCTGGTGAAACAATGCCTCTTTGTACTTTTTCAATGCACACAGACATTCTCCAACTTTCCTATGAGCAATGGCAGCTCCAATGCTGTCCTGGCTTGCTTCAGATAACTGTACCTCCCTAGTGTGCTCCTTTACAGCCTTCTCAAAGTAACCTAAATAAATACAAGAATCAAAAAATGTTAATGTTTCCCTGGTTATGTTGGTTGAATTAGAACCTACCGGCACCAACTTATCAGACTAGCACTATTTTAACTGAGCTAGAAGTTTAGCGGTCAACTCGGATGGAAACCTTTAGGAATCCTTTTGTCACTCTGCTTGAAAAATGCAGAGTAATGTGACCAAGTAAAAAGAACTTTAAAGAGTTCTCTATGTTAAGACAAAAAATGCCAAAGTTTGGCTTGATGTGCTTACGTTCTTAGCTAAAAAGTTTTTTTTAGCCTTGAAAGATACAAGACACAAAATTAACTTAGTGATGCTAAACAGTCAGATAACTTCCATACCATACTGGGATAGCCACTCTCCAACGGCATTACAGAGTTTCGCCTCTTCTGCTAAATCTCCTTTCTCTTGAGCTTTTAATTTTCTTCTACTGAGCTCTATTTAAAATAAAGTCAGAGTAATATATAGCTGTATATTACAATTTATGAGCAAAAAGTACTACAATATAATATTTATCAGAATCCTAGTCAACCCAAATACAGTAAACCCCCATTAATACAGACACTAAGGTGACCCCTAAAGATGGATGGAATCGACAAAAATTGGAGGGTTCGGATGTCCGAACCCTTCAATTTTTGTTGGCACCCTTTGAAATATGAAATCCGAAGGGTTTACTTTTCGTCAGCACCTTCTGAAAATTTTTGTCTGATCAGTCCAAATTTTTTTGGCTTCTTTAAAGAAAAAATCCGAACCCCCTGTTCGAAAATTCGGGAAGGGGGGTCTGCGGATAAAACATGGAACGTCCCCAGGGAATATATGGCTTGAGGGGAATGTGGCTTGCAGGGAGTCAAACCGACATAGAGGCTTAACTTTAAATGACAACCATTTGCAATCATACACAACATAACAATAAAAAATTATCTTGAACGAAAGAGAATAACAACAAAATACTTACGCTTAAGCTCCCTTTGCAGGCTTGCTTCCATCTGAGCTGCACAAGATCATGTTCCAAATCCCATTACCACAGTCGACTGTAAGATTGGCATGATCGGTTGCCTTTTATTTACCTTTTTGACAACAACAGAAAGCCGTGTATGAATCTATTTTCACGTCAATTTTGAATCTTATAAACAGCAAAAAACGATGAAAAAGAAGAACTCCTTCGAAAATGGCGGGTGAATGGCGCCCTTGTATTTTGTACCCAGATCTCCATTATGGGCCGAGCAGGGGCCGAGCCTCGTTTCAGTGGTTTTGGAAGCCGCTGAGTTTTTGTGGGCGCGTCAATCATCCCACAAGTCAATGCGATCCTATATAGTTTATTGTTGTTTGACGAAAGGGTTGAGGGTCTGTACAATCAGGGCATATCAAATGTGTTTGGATATTTTCCCTCAAGTTGATTTAAATGCCGCAACAGAAATCAATTGGAATTTACCCGGAGAGTGACCTGTAGTTTACGGCTTCTTTTTTAACTCAAGTACAGTTTTCTAGGAGAAGCGCAAGGGTATATTATATAACTCTCTTTCTCCTTCTGCGTGTTGCTGTTTCTGTTTCTTTCGTCTCATCGTTTTCAAAATGGCGTCCGTTTTCCGTAAGCTCGTCAGACGCGACACACGCAATGGAGATGGGTCCGACAAGAATGGATGTAAGGCTAAGGGAGACTCAGATCACAAGAATGAAAGGAAAGACGAGGACTTCAGCAATCAAGCAAACCAGAGTAATGATGAAACCAGACACTTGAATAATTCAAATCCGGCTAAATCTCAAGGGAGCAATGGCTTGAAAGGCAATACTGACGTTAGCGAAATGACTTCTTCTCACGCTCAAAGGGTCCGTTCAAAACGTTTAATGAAAGAGTTTCACGACGTGACCATGAGATGTGATAACAAACTGTTTTCAGCCGAACTTGTTGAGGATAATTTGTTCGAATGGAACGTGAAATTATACAAAATTGATACGGATAGTTTACTTTACAGGGACATGGTCGAGACCGGAACCAAGTTTATTTTGTTGAATATTACGTTTCCCGATAATTTTCCCTTCGCACCTCCTTTTATGAGAGTCTCAGCGCCGCGAATTGAAGGGGGTTTTGTTCTTGACGGTGGAGCTATCTGCATGGAACTTTTAACTCCTAAGGGATGGAGTAGCGCATACACTGTAGAAGCCATTGTGTTACAATTTTCTGCTGCCGTGGTGAAGGGGCAAGGACGAATCGACAGATCAACAAAAAAGGCCTTTTCCAAAAAGGAAGCCGAATCCGCTTATAAACGATTGGTTAAAACGCATGAGAAATACGGCTGGGTTACACCGCCAAAATCTGAAGGCTAGTTAGATTAAAAGGAACTGTGGTCATGTATTAATATTTCTTTGTAGATACAATCCAGTGGCGATTCACAAATTCCAGTTGACAAAAAATATATCTTATTGTTCACATTCGCAATTTTTCCATACTTTAAGATCATTCTTTAAAGCTGTTGTTTTAAAAGTGACCCAGAAAAATTGATTGCCATTTGGGATATTTAGGGATTTTTCATATTTATGTTTCTGAATGTTGTTTTTAATACTCAGCTTTCACTGGAAAATTTTGAGGGTCTATGTAAATTTTACACCACCTGTTAAATCATTATTACTCTAAAAGCCACAAGAAAAAAGGTACAGTCAATGTGTAACGTTAACAACTTTCCAAGGCTTATTCACTCACTGTAAATAATATTAGAGTGGCTGCTACAGTTTCCTAGCCATCTAGAAAACGTGAAAGGAAGTCACTGTACAGTACATAGTATCAGACATGCTATTCCCATGCTAATGTTTATGACTGAAATATGTCAGATTTACATATACTAGAAATATTGTAAATTGGCAACCCAAAGAAAAAAGAACAAGTATATTGCTTTTTTTTGGTATGAGAAAGATATCAATGTCTTTTGTGGTTACATTGACTGTGTCTTTTACTGTGAGACAAAAAAAAATTGTAAATTCCACCTCTATTGAAAGTCACAGAAAAAAAATTTTACACTGATAGTGCCAAATTTTATAACTTTGGTTTCAGCTGTATTTTTGAGAGTAGGGATGCATTAATTAGGGAATGTAAATTGTCTTGTTCCATTCTGCCGTGTTGGCAAAGCCATTAGTGTAGTTTCTTCTTTAGAGTAAACTTACTTGTTGGTTTTGAGATTTAAATTTCAAGAAAAAAAAAATCATAGGGACCTGATTTTATTGTGTTTTTAGCTTACAAGTGATGTAAGTTTTATTCTTATATGGAAGAAGACAGAAATTTCCCTGCACCAGTAAGGTTTACAAATAATATTATAATTTTCAGTTGTGGTTTGAAAAACTGTTACTGTTAATGAGTATTTTGCTAGAGTCCTCATGTGAACTGAGTAATTACATCATTAATTATTAACAATCAAATATCAGAAGCCTAGTTCGAAGAGTACTGTTTGTCTGGGTCAATGCAAGCATTTTCTCAAATTACTTCTCAGTGATTTGATATACTTGAATAATAACAACTTATTCCTTCACACCCGTTTACTAAAAGGGCACATTTTTTTGTTCCAAGAGAAAAAAGAAAGAAAAGCAAACTCTATTGGACTTTCATGTATTCACGCTTCTTTTGTACATGCTCATTAGAGGGATAACACAATTAGTTTGACCAGATAATGTTAATGAAAACTTACTAGGAGCTCTTATTGTCTACAGTAACACAATACATGTCACAATAGAGTCTGAACAAAAGTATTGTCAAAAGCTATCATGAGTTTTTTTTACTTACACAATCTTTTCACTCCCAAGAGTTCTAAATGACAAAATTAAAATAACCCTGAAATTTCTGATTATAAAATAAGTGAGACTGCACTGATTAAGTGCTGCCAAAGGCCTTTTTATTTGAATGTTAACACTATTGGTTTTTTTTGTCCACGGGTTCAAAAACCACATACTCAATTCACATACCACAATTATTCGATTAACCGCACTGGGCGCTTATTAACTTTTTGGACCTTGTAACGGATTATTTGTCAGTGGAACTTGGATTCTGGATTTTACTTGTTAGTGTGATTTGCATTCCTTGAGCTGTATTCTGGACTCCAATTACCAGGATTCTGGATTCCACAAGAAGAATTTTTCCCTGATCCCAGAGGCCCACAGTTAAGGCAATTCTGTTTCAGAAGTTACGTCTCTTTGATATTTAGATACTTACTGATGTTTGAAATATTGCGATCAGGTAACATTTTTGTTCATTTTATTTATCCAGGTCATCTTTAACCTTATAATGAGGTACTTCTACAGCATCTTCATTCTCCTTTGTCCCTGATGCAACATTATCTCTTTTTTTACTAAATTTATTGATTTTCTGTGGAAAGACATTAAAACAATCTGGATTACCTTGCCTCTTTTGGAAAAATGACACCGCAAAGCTGCTTTGTGAAATTTTGGCTGGGAGTTAGAACAAAGCTTTGATGTAACTATCAATGGCTAGTTTTCGTTCCTCTGCAAGGGCTAAATCACTTTAGTAAAATCCAACTAGTGGTCTATTATCAATGCTATGTTCTGATTGGTTGAGCGACTACTACTAGGCTATATGTTTATAGCCCACTAGTAGCGAAAAGGGCGGGCTTTTTCATGGCAAAAAGGATTAAAGTCTAGCTATAATTAGCTAAAAGTTTTTTATTCTCAATATTTTTTATCAACTACCGTAGTTGGATTTTACTAAAACAATATTCCTCTCGCCCTCATGGCCTCTGAGTCAATAGCCCATTCGGCCTTCCGCCTCATGGGCTATTGACTCGGAGCCCTTTCAGGCTCGAGGAATAATTGTTAATTAAATTACTCCCAAATAAATACAATAGTCTACTGAATTTTGCCCTTTTGGGGAAAAATAAATCAAGCCACACCCACAAAATGAGATTCTGAGGGTGTATTCCAAATTTTCTTACTAGCAAACCGATAGGCTATTTCAGAGTTCCAAAAACTGTCACTTTCAAAACAAGGCCAAGTGAAAAATCTGTCTTGTGAAAACAAGTTTTATTCGCATCGTTTTTTCAAGGCTGAGCCTCGATGGAAGCCACGCCCCCTCTCCCCAGAAAGCTTGCACTCGCCTGCCATGTTCTTGCTCGTAATATCTTGCGAAAATGAATGGAAATTTTGATGATATCTGGCAAATAAGGTATAATCCTAAAAATCCCATTACGGATCCGGCTTCCTCGGGGTAAGAGTCCAAAAGGTGACATTTAAATTCAAAGAAGTCTGTGGAACTTCACCACACGACACTCGAGAGTCGTCCGATCACCGGACGTTCAAAACAAACACGTATCGGTTTCTTTCCTTTTTTTTTTGTGCCGACCCAGAGTTCCCTAATTGAGTTCACTCCCGCAGCAGCTACATAAATCAAAACAATTCTGTCTTCCTGTATCTCCAAAAGCTATTCATTAACGTTAAAATGACTTCTCTTAGGCCTCAGCTGAGTCCTCAGCTCGGCCTTGCACTCATCGCTTGCGTAATTTTGCTCTGTTTATTTGAAAATGCCACTCGCGTAACGCAAGTCATGGCAGTCACGCCTCACTGGTCACGCAGAAAGTGGAAATCGTACTTCCGGTATAGAGCTAACTTTCACCTTTCACCCCCAACTTCCCTTGCGTAATCCGTTTTTGTTAATTGAGTGATATTCACATCAGTTTTATTGGATTATCATAAAGAGATATTCATATATAGCCATTATCAGGAGGACTCTGGTTTGACGTAGCTGCCGGCGTTGAAAGCATGTGAAAGGCAACTAAAGCTAACTAACTGTGAAAATGACGGTAGCTTCTGGGAATCATTTATACTTTTGAATGACATTTTAAATCCTTTTCTCTATAGGAAAATAAAGCGTTATTAAATTACTTTGATATTCACATCGGAGCAGGTTTCGATAAAAATTCGATAGATTGGTGATGGGCTCATTCGTGTTTATTTTGTAGTCAGACGTCCAGGAGCCTGCAATTTCTAGGGATCCCGAATTTTTAGTTAAATAATTTTCTTGAAATACTTACGGAATTAGAACATTAAGAGAATTCCGTGAAGAGGCAAGGCCCACTTTCCAATTCATCCATAGAATTTCTAGCTTCCAATCAAACCGGAAGTCAGGAATCGGTCTCGCCTTCATCCCACGCTCCATATATGGTATACGATAATGAATTTTCCGTGGCTCGCCTCTAAAATACAAAATTTGCATAACCTTAATTTGCCAGACAACACACTCTTTAGGTCGAGTTGTTTCGTTGTCAGATTCATCCTAGCCAGGCTGATTGACGAGAAAAATGGTTGGTTGATTGAAACACCACTGTAAATCTACCTCCAAAAGGAGGTTAGCTTGTTCTCGCACGCGCTTAAACATGGCGGATCACTTGGAACTTGTTGCTGAAATTCCGAAGGTGGAGAAGTTGTCAGTTCAAGATCGCCTAGAACTCGCAAGAAAGCGCCGATCTCAGCAACTTAAACGATGGGATAGAGATAAAGATAAAGAAATAGGCCCTCCACCGCCGAAAAAGAAACCTATGCGAGCAAGGCCAGTGAAATTCGAACCAAGGATAATTCTCCTCGAGGCAGCTACGCGAGGAGACGTCGACGAAGGTTAGTTCGACCTAGTTTAAAGTTGTATTCCGTGGAGTTTTAATTGTTTGAAGGTAGTTATGTGTGGAGATTTTTTATTAATTTCCAAAGTTTAAATTATTGATGTTTCTTATACAGTAAAAACCATGCTCGATTATGGAGTAGACCCAAACTTGGCCAACGACGATGGACTAACCGCTCTTCACCAAGTAAGACTAAAATTTATTTAGTTGTTTATGGTACGTCTTTTATTTTTACTCAGGGAGAACGCATTAAGATGTGATATTTGTGAACTATTTTCCAAACTGATCTATGTTTATTTAGGCTTATTAATCAAAGCAATTTTTGTTTGTTTTACTTTTGAGACAAATCGCTTTATCAAGTAAAATTTCATCGCAAAAAATTAATTAATACTTGGAATTTTCTTTTGTTTGTAAGCCCATATCCTTTTTTCACAATATTGTACTATTCAAACACAGTCTAAATCTCTGTGTAGTGAGAATATGGGTAGATTAGATAAATATGATGCTTATATAAGTTGGTAGAGCTAAGAAAAAGATAAAGTGCGTCCTTCGAGCACAGTTCACTCTGTGAAGACCGAATCAACTTTCCGTGATTCGAAGATATGAAACCGTTTTCTGGCTGCTAACTTATATATGTGGTGGTTTTTCCGCTCGAACGCCTTTCTGTCTTATTGTAAATTTATTTCTTTGTGTTTGACAGTTAAGGTTAGATGTAACCACAGACTTCTTGAACTATGATTGTTCAGACTAAAACGCGACCTTTGGTCATTAAAACACACAATTAACGAAAAATGTTGATTTATTTATGCACCTATCAATGTTAAGCTGCAGGGGGGGGAGGCCGGGCATAGGCGGGGGATTTGAACTCAGATCATTTTTTCTGTTCAAATGCCCGACCCCAGGGACGTTATTGCTGGTCAAAAGAGTGCAAATTCCCCATCCCCCTCCCCTTCCAGAAAAAGGTCAAGGCATTGGTCAAACAAGAATTAAAATAGGGATATACAGGAATTATAAAGTTGTAAAAAGCAAGAAGCAACAACTTCAAAATGTAACGTCCTTTTAATAGAAAAATGTCATGTAATTTATCTGGAAAGTATAAAAAAATTTGAAGACTGTCTCAACTGATACTATTGAACAATACAGCAAAACAAGGAAATTCTGGTATCTTATCATGAATTGTTATGCTACAGATAACTTTTATTTGAATTGACATCCGTTTATAACTCATGGCCATTATTCATATTTACATCACCAAGTAAGACTAGTTTATTTCAACTTCAGTCCGTAACACTTTTCTGATTTTTAATAGTACCAACAGACCTATGTCCTAAAGTAACTAAAAAATGGAACTGCATACTTTGTAAACAAACCAAGATGTGACATTTTGACTGGGTGATGTAATTATCTATACTGGCTTTTACATTTAATTACTTTAATTGTAAACAGGAACGATGGAAATGAAATATTTATAACCTCTGATTTGAAAGTGATAAAGCTTACAGCATGCTTTTCCTTGACTGCAGCCTGGTCAACACGAACATGTACTCGTAATTTTGCTCTGTCTTTAATGTGATCCACGTCCTCGACATCGACCCAATCATTCCACTCTTCTTCATACTCTTGAAGGAACAAATCGCTGCTAGCATTTATGGCAAACATACTTTTTATTTTTGAAATCACTTCATTCATATCATCAGGTTCTTTGATATCAAACACCTTTCGGCTATCGCCAAACTGAAGAAGGACCTAAAAAAGTAGTTCCATGTGATCAACCACGCATGAATTAACATCTCATAAATATGTATTAAACAATTGTACTAAAAAACAAAAAGAATATCGCAATATAATCAATCATGGCACTGATGACATAACAAAACGCAAAAAACAACCCGATGGGCTCTTTAAGCGACAAAATTTCACAGATTTCTTACCTTCTTCACGGAAACCGAAGCAGCCTCCATTTTGATGTCTGCTGGTTACCAGGTCTCAGTGCGCCGAAAATCCAAGATGGCGTCGGTGGAGCTCAGGCCACTAACGGTTAAAGTCAAAAGTCCCGACCCCCGGGACTCGACGAATGATCAAAAGTCCCTGCCACGGGCAGACTTGTTACGTCAAATCCCCCGCCTACACCCGGCCTCCCCCCCCCGCGGCTTAACATTGATAGGTGCATTATGGCAAATGCTGATTGATGAGAAATTGTTCAGCTGAGCACTCACCATACCCTGGATGCAACTTTTTACATGGCTTATTTTGGCGTAGAGATGGTGGCTTTTAAAGAGTAATTTGTGGCTTTTTTTATCACGTTTTGTGACTCTCTCTGTCCGTTACGTAAAGGAAAAGTATGGGGTTCGTTTACTCCGTGCTAAATTTGTGGCAGTGTCATTGTTTTTATTATTAATAGTAGTATTATCAGCTGAAATACAGGGTTTTCCCTTGGGAAACAATGTCAAGTCTCGACCCAACCACCTAACTTTCCCAACATGTTTCCCAAAATCCTTCTGAGTTTTTAGAGCCATCAGATATGAAACTTCCTGAGCAGTTACAGCGGCCCTGTTAGGGGGTTATCTGTGTCACCAGTGTGAATTTCAAAACCTGTCATTTCCCACATTTAGGAGGAAGCTATGTCTCTGTTGGTATTTACTATTGTATTTTTGCTTAATTTTCTCTGGCCCTTTCGCCTGACTTTGTGTCGTTTGTCACCAATTCTGCTGTCCTATGTCACTTTTCCAAGGCCATGTCGTTTTTTGGATTTTACCCTAACAGCGCCTTGTTACATTTCTGTAAGTGCTCAGCTAGATAAGTATCTTTTTGTTTTGTAGTAGAATACATTGCTTTAGTATCCAGCAACATTTTAGGATGGCTCCTGAAACAGCTGTCCTGTGACTTACTTGAAGTCCATAGATATGCCTAATACTCGAATGTCGAGATTGCTTTTACTCACATGGTTAGGAGCTATGATGTTTTTTTTATGCTGGAATTCATCGTCTTCTATAACATTCACGAGAATGTGGGCATTTTTCATCGCTCACTTGTCAACAGTCAGCGATCTGACCCATCAGACAGATCATGATACCAGAATCTGGTATCATGGATGGGCAACATCAAAACAAAGGCTATAGGCTCCCCCGCCTAATTTTCTTCCTCAGGCCACACTTTTCTCGCTTTGCTTGCCACTGTTTTTTTTCACCCTGCTCCAATTGGCTATCTTAAAACAAAAGAAAGTTTGCTCTTGAAAGAAGAGTTCAATTCCCATAGGATTGTTTTGCTACATCAAAATGGACACTGTTTCAATGTTTTGGTATACCAATGAGGCCGCCTTGACTGAAAATGGCCAAGTGGCTTACAGTAAATTTACATATATCATAATTTATTCTCTTGAGTATTTATTGCTCAGAGAGTATTTACTTCACCGCTTGTGTGTTCATATGACATAATGTGACTGAATGTAGTGGTTATGTCAGCCCACAAAATAATGACCTGCTCATCACTAGAGTTCTTAGTAGCTCAGCTGTTAGAGAATCCAACTAGAGTCTGGAAGATTGTGGGTTCAACTCCCATCTCGAACTCAGAAATTTTTTCTGATTTCTTTTCTCCACACATATCACTGTTTGTAACTTATCATAATTTAATTTTTGTAATTTCAAAAGGCCTGTATTGATGAGTGTGACGACATTGCTGAACTTCTGGTGGATTACGGTGCTGACATTGATGCTGAAGACAGAGAGTTGTGGACACCCCTGCATGCCTCTGCGGCATGTGGAAATGCTCCAATGGTTGAATACTTGGTGGAACATGGGGCCAATGTTGTTGCTCTCAACTTGGATGGAAACTTGCCTGTTGATTTAGTGGAAGAGGATGAGGATCTTAAGAACTACTTGTTCAAAGAAATGGATAAGCATGGTAAGGTGATATGTCATATTCCGAAAGTAATGCCTCTTCTGGAGGATAAACCTTGGTTTCCCTTATTGGATTACTGCAAATGGGCAGGATGAAGCAAACCCTTTGTTTTTGCTGGCTACTTGAGCAACAATAGTAGACCTATCCTCAGGGCTCGAAAAAAACTTGAATTCAAACTTGTCCTTTGGGCCATTAGCTCTCATAATTTGCTTGCCTGTGGCAACCTCTTGCTTGTCTTAGTTTATGATTTTATTATTATTAATAATAATAATAATAATAATAATAATAATAATAACATGTTTAAACAGGATGACCATTTCAGTTATAAAAACTGCTATCAATATGGGTCCTGTATTAGAGGATGACATGTCTGGGGCAAGTAACGTTTAAAAGTTTCTTGCCCAGCAAGAAAATCTTCTCATCCCAGACTATCGGACAGGTCTTTTTCGAGCCCTGTAGATGCTGCCTGTTCAGGATTGCTTGATTTTTCAACCCTCCACAGGCAACCACCTCCCTTACATGTAAGTGACCACCTCCCATAACTAAGTGACCACCTCTCCAAAACACAGGGATCAAAATTGTGGTTGATACGGTCACCAATGTCACGAGCATTTTGTCCTTGGCAACTAAAATTGTGGCTTAGTTTACATTATACAAACTGGTAACTAAAAAATTCGAATCTGGCAACTATATTTCTCCAGTCAGTCGCCAAAAGCTAAGGCGACCTGAGGAGTTTTTTAATTTTGAGCCCTGAAAACACCAAACTTTTTCCAGTCAATGCCTTCATTGAACGCTCTCTTGTAAACAACTACCAGTACCTCCAGGGTGCAAAGAAAGTCATTTTTTAAACTTACATTCGGGCAAGCTCAAGCTAGCATATACTAGCACAAACGTAATTTCAACTAGCCCCAAATACATTTTGATGAGGAGAATTGATTTCACAGTTCTTCTGTAATTTGAATTCCTAAAAAAACTTCACTTGCCCATCAGGCAAGTTAATAACAGAATTCACTAGCCCAATAGCACAATCCACTAGTCCCGGGCTATCGGACATTACTTTCTTTGCAGGCTGACCTCTCTTAAGATTCAACCACACCAACTTTTGGGCATAATTGTTACTAAATTTTCCGTTGTTTTTAAGCTTTTGTCAGCAACCACATGATACATGTTCAGTAGACTATGTTTGCTGTCTGCACTATACTACTCAGATCATTCAAACAAGTTATGGAGATGAAATGGAACTGCATGTATCATAACTACCAAATTGCATGCAATGAATCCTCAGATGAAAAGAAGAGGTGTCAGGGACAGGTTCACTTGTGCGAGTTGGGGGAAAATTTAGGGGGCAAAGCCACAATGCTGCAGGGAAAAGTGAGCCTGCATGTGGGCTATTGAATTTTCAATTTCATCCCTTTTGAGGTATCAAGATACTATCCAACAGGAGCAAAGTATTATTAATGTCAGCAAAAAATTTGACAGGAAGTTTCAGGTGGAGTTTTGTTGTAAACTGCATCAGAGGTCAAATCCTGTCAGAAACAAAAACCATAGAAATTAATATGCATGAAGCAGACCACCATTATCTCGACAAGCTGTTAAAATAACATTTGCTTGAAGTCAAAATTAAAAATCCCCCATAACATTATCTGCCTGTTAGAAACAAGCAGCTTTTAGACATGAGGTAAAAGTCATGCTAGCTTACTGACACTTTTATGACTATGGAGATGTTGATGTACAAGCTCAGCCAGACAGAACTGCATTTGCTTAGTCCAATTTAAGAATCCTTCATAGCATAATAATCGTACCTGCTAGAAAGAAAATTAAAGTGCACCGTTTTCATGTGAGGCAAAAGTCATGCAGGCTTACCAACGCTTTTTATCATTAAGGTATCATCCAGGGTAAAAAATCATCATTTTTCTAAATTTGCAATTTTTAGACGATTGAATAGAACTCATCAAGAGCTTTCTTTTAAAAAAAATTCCAGGAAAAAATGTTTTTTCTGTGCAGACGTATGGAGTGCAAAAGTTTTTTCTATGCTAATTATTTTAATTGATCATTGACAAGTCCTGTCATATTTGATACGCGTGCCGCTGTTGAACCAAGCTAATCACACAATTTGACAGAAATCGTGGTTTACAAGTATAGTGCTCACTGTTTTTCCCTGGAGTTTGAAAGTGAATGCCTCCAAAGAAGAAAAAAGAGCTTGTCCGGTTTCGTCCTCGACTCCAAGGCAAAAGAAGACGACAAAATCGTTTTGTCGCCAAAGAATGCGCTTCGAAATTAGCAGAGAGCGACAAGAGCTCCTTCTACAATCAAGAAAAATGGCTAAAAGATGACAAAGCTCCTGAAAAACCGATTGAAACTACCGCGGAATCGAGTTTCACAAGTTCGTTAGCGAGCGAGCGGAGCGAGCTTTTTAGGTCGCGAAGCAGTCAAGCGAGTGACGAAGTCATGAGAGGTCCCACGCCATATAAAAAGCGGATGAAGTTCTGTTTTGAAAGTCTATTGTAGTGGGAAAGAAGCTTCAAGAAAAACTCCAGGAAGCAGTTTGTTGTCGATTTTGCAGGGAAGTGTCAAACTTTTAAAAAATGTATCGAGTAAAAGTGGGCTTGGCTCAACTTGGCTTGTCCGGTGCGAAAATGAAAACTGCCTGTTGCAAATAACTAATGAAGCTTTCTCGACAACAGAAAGGATCGAACAGAGCAGAGCATTTGAAATAAATTGTTTATGTTGTCAGGTTTCGTTTTCAACTTTTCCTGCTGTGTCACTATTGTTGTCCCTTCTCTGGTATGCATCAACATTGACAGCTTTGGTGTTATAATCTGTTATAATCTCATCACGGGTAATACGCCGCCAAAAATATTTTTCCACTGTTTTCTCAAAATGAAAATCAGGGCAAGTTGAGGGAACGTACGTACAGGTAGTGCTAATGATTTGCTATCCCTAACTTCACCTGCTTATAACAACAGAACAAACGCACTTGACAAAAATCTGAGACACCGTTTTTTAGTCAAACATGTTAAGAAGCGAATGCGTTCTTCATTGGCTTCTTCCGTTAATTTTTGGCTGGACTGGACTTAAATTTACAGTGACACCAACTTTCACAAAAAGCTTCTCATTTCTAAATCACGTTAATATTTGATTTTTAAAAGAAATAAGCAATAATCTGGAACTATTAAGCTTTCAAAAAATGTACGGTTTATGGGGGTATTTGTTAAAAGCAAAAGCGCTAGCACCGATCAACGCGAGGAGGGTGCTTGAGGGTGGATGATACCTTAAGTTTGATATGTGAAAGTTTATGCCTGGTGTCCTGCTTCTCTCATATTATATAACCTGTTGAAGCCTGTCACTTTTAACCAATTAAATCACTGCATTCATCAGTGAATGCAGAGATTTTGAAATTAGTAGCCCATGTGCAGGCTTACTTTTTCTGGAGTGCTGACAGCGCTGCCACCAAAATTTTTCCTGAACTCAGACAAGTGACCCTGCTCTCAGGCTATGTCAAGGTCTCGTCTTGGCAGAGACACCCTGTGGTTCGATCTTTGTAATGACAACCTCCTGTAATAATATTGTTACTGATATTGTCCAATCCTTCAGGCTTTGATGAAAGCAAAGTTGATGAGCTAGCTTTATTGAGAGAAAAACAGATGCTTGAAGACATAAAAGATGCAATTGAAAAGAAGAGGGATTTAGAAGTTAAAGATATGGAGGGTGCAACAGCAGTAAGTTTTCTTGATATGAAGTGTTTAGACAGCCGTTTACCTGTACGTCAATAACCTTTTGTTGATTTTGAACTGCGGAAGGACAAAATGTTGTTTTTATGCTACATAGCCATATACAGCTATTTCGAGAAAGGTTGTCGGAAAAACAGCACGCAACAATCCCGAAAGGTATTGTGGGTGGTTTTGAGATCACTGTTCTTCAAAGAAATTAGCAAGAATGGCACCAGAGGCCATGGACTTATGTTTGCGTGTGCTAAAGGAAAGCAACAAAAGTAAGTTCAACAGCCACAGTTGTTATGAACAGTGTATTGATCGCATCCCATATTACCTTTCGGGATGGTCACGTGCGCTTTTTTTCCGACAACCTTTCTCAAAGTAGCTGTATATATGTTGAGGTTCAATGAATTAAGCTCTGGTTCACCTGATATCGATAGTTTAGTTTCCGTTTTCAAAATACAGTAACACTGAAAAACTAGCTCAAAATAAGATTTTAAGCAGGTATAAAATTGAATCACAATGGTTGCAAGAATGCTAGAACTTTTAAAACTTATAGTTTTTCTAATGTATTTGGAACAGCTTCTCCAATGTCAACATTTTCCATGTTAGATTATGGAATACAGGAATAGATTTAACCATTTATTTTTTTCATTCTAAGCTGCATATTGCCGCTGCCAATGCATATGAAGAAGTGCTTGAGTTCTTGCTGGAGAATGAAGCTGATGTCGATGTTGAGGACAAAGATGGATGGAAGCCTATCCATGCTGCTGCTTGTTGGGGAAATGTGAGATTTATTACCTGGATTGATTCTGTTATGCTTGTTGCTTAATCCCTTGTCAAAACTCTTTTATTTGGACATCAGTGTAGTAGATATTTGAAAATAACAGTCACTCGAGTCAAGTGAACTCCCATAGATTCCATTAATCAATCAATTATTTGAAAAAGTAATCCATTAGTTGTTGCCACAACTAGCATCAAGTTCAAATCTGTGTTCCTGCATACACGCGTAATGAGCAGTGAACTTTTGACTACAACTTCTCAGTATTCAGTCAGGTGAAAACATTTTTGAATGGATTAAATTATCTTGGATACATTTATTTCAATTTCAAGAAAATTAAGCTCTCAGAAATTTCAGAACTACCTCAAGCGTGAATCTGTCACCAATGCAGAAATCCAGAGATGAATCTGAAATCTACAACTAACCGATTCAACTTTCCAATAGGACACTCATTAATAGAATATTGGGCGGTATGCGAGACCTTGCTTGACTGTAACAATAAAATCGTCATGAAGATCCAAGGTTCAAATTTTTTTCTTTAAGCCTTGAAAAATGGTTTTGAAACAAACTCCTTTTTTCTGTTTTCAAAACTAAGCAAAAGTAGGACTCAGATACAGTTTGAATGATGACGTGTAAAATGAGCTGCGCTTCATGCCACTGATGGTGGATGAATGCATTTTAGTACAACCTTTTTTTGAGACAATGAGCTTAAACTAGTGGCAAGGAAGGCCTCCATAAATATTATAATATTTTTTTCATCCAGACTCTCAAGTTTTGTGATATTTATCCCACCCCAATCATTCCTAGCTACCACATTATGCAAGTTGAAAACGTGTCTGTGTTGCCCATAGGCATAGTTTTTAGCCTTTTTGACCTAATATCTGGAATCTTGGACAAAATAGTAATAATTATTATTGAGACTCCCTTCAAAACAAGAAAAGGAAAGTGGTGTATTTTGGCCTTTGCCCAACTTCATCCTTTATTCCGGGCAAAGCAGAGTTTCCTTTTCTTTTTTGTTTTGTCTAAACTTGTGGGTAATAGTTTGTGCTGTCACCTTATTCAACTTCATATTGAGCATGTTTTGTTGTCTTTTTATGTCAAACAGGAGAAAGCAATTGAGTTACTTGTGCAGCATGGAGCTGATCTGGACAGTCGAACACCTTATGGTGAATCTCCACTAGGTATGGGGTGACTATCTACCCTATGAAACCTTGAAAACCATGTGGCTAGTTTAAGAAAATGGTGACAAACTGTTTGGTTGCAAATTATTTCCATCCACTTATTGAGTAAAATGCTTCAAAAATTGATTTTAAAAAAGGGTAATTGTAAATTCTACTGTCAAATTAAGAAAACCATGAACTCCTTAAATGTGTCTGGAATGTGTTTTTTGTCATCTGACAAAGGTAATCAGGTGTTTGCTGGTCACATGATCTGCCAATACCTTCGTTATGCCCTATAATATGGCATTGTTCATGAGGTCTTTTTGAGTTGCTGTACTAAATGAGTTTTGCCATTTTCAAGTTTCCTTAGTTTTATTTAAAATACACAACATTAATTATAATTAGTGTGCAAATGTGTTTGTGTGTATTGATCTCCATTATGATTGGTCATAATACACTCAGGACTGTCTAAGTCATGGGGCTAAATGTTTAACTCTTTAAGCCCCAATAGTGACCAATATCAGTTCTCTCCTAACAATATCAATACATACTCAAGAGAAAAGGTTATGAGAAATAATAAAATTATCACAAAAGGGAGAATGCTTTGATCTTTTAACAAGTTCTCTCAACTCATTCCACAAGAAATGTACAGAGGGCAGTATGGAGAATTTGCATGTGGATATATTGGGGCTTAAAGGGGCAAACAGTCCCTCTATTGTTGTATGAAAAGGATTAAACTGTATTACATTTTGAGTTAATATTTTTTACTCTTTTCTTTTATGTTAGACTTATGTGAAGATGCTGATACAAGACAATTTATCATGGACTTAAGAAGTAAAGTGAAGACAAACAAATTTAAAGTAAAGAACATTCGCCGAAAAAGGAACAGTTCAAGATCGTAAGTTATTGTTTCTTCTTCTTCCCTTTTAAAAGACTCCTCACTTTTAAAAGACAATTCTGAAACTCAACTATTCAGGCAACAATATTTTCAAAGTGTTTGGAAAAATATGAAATAAAATTATGTTCATAAGCGATTCACAAGCACACCACTAAAATAAAGAAGCACAATTAAACCTTGAACTTAAATGTTTAAATTTTTTTGTAAGCTTTCTAACAGCTGTTAAAGCTCAAGGAAAAGACATGAAGAAAAATAGGTGATACATTAAAAATCCCTGTGATGCTGAACTTGGTTCAAATGACAGATTGTGTGGTGTGGTAGTGCATTATATTGTCATTAATAACTTGCATGTCAGTCTTAGCTATTTCAACAGGGAGCTTAAGTAACCACGATGGCAATGGCAGCAAAAGTTTTACTTTAAAAGTGAATTTGTGCTGTTTCATATTACATTACGCTCATCCCATTTCATTCCATGGGTCAAATGGTGGGGAATTTTTCTGGAGTTCATTCTAAAGGGTTGTACAGTCGACTCTCTCTTAACGGACACCTCTATAAGACGGACGCCTCTGTAAAACGGACACTTAGAGTTTGTCCCTGCCTTTCTTTACTCCCTTTATTTGACTCTCTATAAGACGGACACCTCTCTAAGACGGACACTTAGTGCCGGTCCCAAAGGTGTCCATCTTAGAGAGAGTTGACTGTATCTAAGTTCAGAAAAAGAAAAAGAAAATTGTCATCTTGTGTTCACGTCCTTCAGAAAACAAAATGAGGAAGTCTCAAGTTGTGGTCGTGCAACAACGGTAAAGAAATGTACAAAAAAGCATGATGAACGTGCAAAGTCGTTGTTTTCCCATTCTAACCCTGTTGCTTTTTTGCTGGTCTCATTGCCATTGCCATCATTGTTGTTGTTGCTCTTGAGACTGGATTGGTGTACTGTGGTGTCAAGAAGGCCAGTTTCTAGGTATTAAAATTCATGGTCAGAGGGGTACAAAACAAATGAAAGCATGTTGAGTTTCAGCGAGGAATAGTGAATTTGTTTTGGTTTATTCCCCTCAGCCCCTGAGACGAGTGAATTTTGAAAGTTGCAAACTGACCTATCGAACTTAGGGACTGTTCTGGGGGCCCAATTTTGACCTACTTTTTTGCACTTTAGCCAATGACAGCCTCAAAACAGTCCCATTGTCCAATTCAACACAACACTGGCCCAGTCGCCCATGTGTTGAAATTTTTTTGACATGTTTTAATACCTGGCACTACTTTTCTTTTCATTTATGTTTAGGCTGTCTGTCAAGCGTTCAAGCCTCAAGGACAAGATATCAATTTCTCAGAATGAAGCCAAGGCAGAGGCAATCCTGCGACAGCATCCTGAGCTGGCCTTCCTGATCAAGGTAATGCAGCTTAGTCTGGTGTCATACTGCATCTGCCTCTCCAAATGAGTCAGTTATGCTGTATCATGTCTGTTGCTTACCATTTGCACCCTTGCCCAACCTGTATATGAGTCGTGCAAGCCTGGTCTTACCAGTAAATAGACTCCCTTACTACAATTTCACTCACATTCTGAGTGACAAAGCAATAATGAACACTTGAGGATGACCCTAAAGGAAACAGCAAGTTTTGTTTGGGTGACAAAGCTCACTGTTTCCCATGGGACCTCTCGTGAAGTGTTTTGTTATGACCTTCCAACTCTAAAACGGCAAATAAATTATTACTGGTTGTGGCTGTCCCAAATTTTAAGTTACATGACCTGGTCATGAGCGGGTTTAGAGTTCCCTAGGGACATGATTGTTGGGTTTTGTTCGCCTTGCTTTGATGCATGGCATGTGATACGTTCTCTTCCAGTCGAGAAAAGCGCTTGAGTTTGGAGGTATGACAATTTGTCTCATTGCCCTCAAACGATGTAAGTTTACTGCTTTAACCAATCGTACTATTGATTATTATTCTTTCAATATTCGTATGATTTGAACCACTTAAATCTAACTTTCACGTCTGGTAATAAAAGGAAGTAAGATAGTGTTTTCTTCATTTTATGTAGAAGGAAAAGAAAGTAGCCAACGAGGAGCCAAGGGCAATGGACGTGAGTGAAGAAGACAACAAAAGAAAATCTAAAGACGAGTCAAGGGTAAAACCTAAAGAACAGTCACCTGTACCAGAGAGAAGACAAGCAGAGGAGAAAAGACCACTAGCGGGTAACGATACAACGATGGTAGAAATTTCTATGACAGGAAAATATGAAAGAACATTGAACGGTGAAACCAAAGTAGTCGGTATTACAGGTCATGAAAAGGAGACTAACACAGTGGCTGATGTAACAAACAATTTATCAAAAGATGCAAAACCTAGTGAAACTGTGACAAAAGGAAAGGATGTTGCGGGAAGAAAGGAAGAAAGTTTAACAGAAAATGTTCAATACAAAAGCAGGACTGTTACGACAGCGCAGGTTGTACAAGAGAAAACTACATCTAAAATATCTTTTCCGCCTCCTCGCTCTCCAGCGACAGGTCGCCGTCAGCTGCCAGCTGATCCCTCCCTTAGGTTTCCTCAAACAACGAAAGAAAATATCGTGATTAAAAGTAGTCACAGCAAACAAGAAGTTGTGGAAAGAAATGAACAAAGAACTCCGTCAGCTAAACCTTTATCTGAGCTTAATGTCCACTCTAACACAGCGCAACAGTTTGTTACAGGAGTACCTAAATCAACAAAAACACATGCTACACCGCCAGTACCAATGCCTCGATCTTCTGGAAGCACTAGTGCACCAAATCAGCGGTTATCTGGTACTGCAGGCGCACCTGTAGCCATGCCACGATCGTCTGGAAGTACGGGAGGAAGGCATCAGTCTCAGCAACCTGACACTTCAGGTTACCCTGACGCTTTCAATAAGAGAAAGTCTAGAGAGTCACGGGAAATTTCGGATGCTGCATTGCATCAGTTAGGTAAGTTTCTTGTAGTCCGTGTATCTCCAGCTTCGAGTCCTTGTCAGTTTGGCGAGAATCTTAGCACCTATAAACCACCCCTTTTGTAAGATGACTTTTGCGCACTATTGCAGGTTTTTTCGGTATTTACACACTGAAATTTTAGATCGTTGATTCAACTGGTATGTTTATCGTTGGGGAACTAATGTTAAATCCGTTTTGTGCTTCAATTGTGCATTGAATCTTAGAGCAGCCATAGAATACAGGGCCTCAGAGGTCCACCTTGTCGGAAGGCTTTGAAGAACAAGTCGTGTAACATTAGAAGTTTGTATTATTTAATGTTTTGTTATTACTGGCCCTGTAAAATTAGGTAGTTTCATGCAGAAGAATTATTTTGAACAGTTTCTGTCTGCTTGAGAGATTGTGATTTTGAATCGGACGTTTGGCGTTTACCGTAACCGTGATTCTAAATCCCTTCTGTAACGAAATGTCAAATGTAAACTCACAAGCTTGTTATTGTAAAACCTTAGCCAAAGACATCAAGAGTTCCAAGGCAGTATCACCAGAAGATGTAAAGCTCTCTTCGCAAGCTGTGACAGCAAAATACGAACATAAACCCACCACACCTCCATCTGCAGTCAAGCGCGACAGTGTACCTGCGACTATTGACGTAACATCTGAGACAAGTCAAGCAAAACAAACATCAGAAGCTAACAATAAAAACAGTAATGTGAATGACACATGGGAAGAGCCGAGGAAAACATTTAAGCAGCCAAATGATGTCACAGTGGAGCGAGAAAAGAAAACGTGTTGTCTTCTGATGTGATAAAGAGACAATGACATCAGTAATCCAGAGAGACTGCAAGATGGGCATGTTTGTTTGGTTATGATAGGCCGGCAAAATGGTGGAAAGTCTTATACGTGAAGCAATCAGAGGCTGAGTGTGATTGAACAGATCACAGTTAAGATAAAGATTCAGATGGAAGCATTTCAGCATTTGAAAGCTTCAAAACTGATTTAGCAAGGTTAAGCAAAGTTGTTCTTGAATTAAGATGGTTTGTAGTGATCCCGATTCACTTGTAAACAAATGTCCTCGCTGAAACGTATATGGAAATAAATTCGAGACCAAGAAGAGGTTTACACTTGATGGGATTTAAAGTTTCCCGAACTATAAAACCCTGGGATTTTACTCGTTAATCCTGACTACAAAGATCACGAGGAATGTTGTTGGAGTACTGGTTAGGCCAAAGGGAAATTTTAAGTTGACATTTCGAGACTCGTTGTGTGCTTTTCGCAGTAAAAGTGAATAATTCTGGACTAGAATTTTCTTAACTTGTAAATATTTCTTTTTTAATTTTTTAATATTAAACGGTTAGGTTTGTAGTCTCTTAACCTCTGGATAAGGTAGAACAGAGAAATTGTAAAAAGTTACTTTTATGGAAACTTCGCGCTGGACCAATGGTATCCCAAAAATGTTTTTATTTTTCTGATTTATTTTATAATTATTACGAAACCAAGACCGTAAACGTTAATTCAAGATAAGTTGAATAAAGAAGAGCGTTTTCACTGATTCAAGGCATGGTTTAAGAAAGCAGATCAAGCTTTTCCCAGCGTTGGAAATATGCAGGTTTTCAAAACAGACTACCTTTGATTTTATTAGTGTAACGCTAGGAAAACCGACGAAATGTGGAATTAAAACACAAGGTATCATCAAGTTTTCTGTAACCGACCGTGGAACCTCGATATAACGAACCTCTATATAACGAAGTCCTCGGTATAACGAACATATTTCCAGTGCCTTTTGCCTTTGTTATATCGAGGTTCCACTGAAGGTGTTCAATAACTGTTGGAAGTTTTTGACAAACCGTAAAATTCCGAAAATAAGCCCCTCCACATATACAGCCTCCCAAACCTCGTAACGCAAAATAACCCTCCGTTAAATCGCCCCTCCAAATATAAGCCCCCGGGGACTTATACTTGGAAATTGCCCTCAAATTCAAAATAAAACAAAGCATCAATTGTACAGTGACACAAAGTTTTTGCTTTTGCCAAAGAACTACAGGGGCACCCAACGTCAATTTTGGGAAAATATCTGTTCGGAAGACTATTTGAGTTCTCCCTCTCCTAGAATTTTCGGAACATTTTTTGTAAAATTTCTTACTTGCCTACCTCTCCTAGGATTTTCGAACATCCAAAAAATGTATAATTGCCTATTTTTAACGGATTTTTACCTTAAAAAGGTCACCTAGAATTTTCGGAAGTCTTTTTTCTGGCTGAAACTTTCGAAAAGGTAAGTTTTGATCCCTATAATTTTCGGATCACTAGACTTTTAGCTAGGAAATCCGAACAGATGAAAAATTTTTAGGGGATAAAAATATGCCTATATCTACCGTTTAAATACTAAAATACGTTTAACGATGCTATGTTTAAGTGGTTTTGAACTATATTCTCGTTGGGTGCCCCTGGAACTATGACGTGTGCCAAATAATTGCAGTCAAAAAATGTCACAGTATATTGCTGTTTGAGTAGTTGCCCTTAACTCTTGCCTTGGATTTCCTCGTTCCATATATACCAAGTACTTGTATGGCTGTGTGGTTGAGTTTAGTAAGATCTACGTCCTAAAGACGAGTTTCAATGAAAACTTTCTGCAAATAGTTGACATAAATTTCCTTGCAACTATAAGCTAGCCCAATCGATTTTGAGACGTAAATTTCTCTCCGAGTATAAGCCTTGCCGATTTTCCTCCGTATTTAGGCCCCTCCAAAAACAAGGCCCTCAAAAAGGGCCTTTGAAAAAATATAAGCCCCGGGGCTTATTTTAAGAATTTTACGGTATTTTTGTAACACGTTAATGATTCCTTGAGGAATGTCGCCACTTAATTTACAGTAATTTGGATCTCATATCCACACTTCTCGTCGAGATGATTCTTTCGGTTTGATTCCTTTTATCTTTCTCTTTTTTAGAGAGAAATGTGTTGGAATTAATTATTTCTCTTTAATGGCCCTTCAATCTCTGAAATACATATTTTGAGCCTGTGGATAAAATCCCTTACTATGAAAAATCAAATGAAATCTACTGAGCTGGTTTTTCATCAATTCTGATTGAATACTTCGTTTGTATATTACTTTAACTCATGAGCTCTGGCAACTCTAGAATGTTGGGAGTCGGTTCTCCACAGCACCAAGACTACAGCAGAGTCAGTCGACTTTTCACTTGTTTCTTTGTCCAAATAACGAGAAAATATGATTATTAATTGCCTCAATTCTAATAATTCTAATGAAATGTCACGTTAGTTGTATTTTGAGAGCCCACAAGGATACGGATGCGGGTCCAAAGAAAAGCCCAACCTCGTTCCCAGATTCTCTCTCGCTCCGTAAGGCAGGGACGGGTAGGAGAGAACCCTGGAAACGAGGTCGAGGAAAGGCACTTAGCATCCTCGGAGACCCAGAAGCAGATAGTGGATGCGAGGGAAAGTCTAAACGGGCGGGAAAATATGTCACGAAGAAGAAAAGTAAAGAACGGCGAGTAGAGCCCCTGGGGACAATGTCTTACCAGACCGGTTCCAAACGGTCGCCGCCGTCCTGGCTTCTGATATGGTGCCAGAAGACTTTTGTGTTTTTCTGCCCAATCAGAAGCCAGAACGGCGGCGACCGTTTGGAACTGGTCTGGTAAGACATTGTCCCCAGGGGCTCTTCTTTAACTTTTCTTCGTGCCATATTTTCCTGCTCGTTTAGACTTTCCCTCGCCCCCACTATCTGCCCCTGGGTCTCCGAGGATAGCCACCTAGCTGAACTTCTGGCTATGACTATCTTACCACGTTATGGCGCCTAGCTAGAACCTCATGGCTTACGTTTTACTGTGGTAAGACGTGGAACTTTGCATCTACCAAACCTAATTCCTTCAAGTAATTCAGTACTTGAAAAGATCGACGTTTTGTTCATTTAAGGGGCTTTCCACATTTGATTTTCGGGAACCAGTGCCTGGGTGCTGGCACAAAATGGTGTTGTGTTCACGCATTGAGTACCCGATATGTGACTGTGTACATAGTTACTCCATTTCGCCCAGTCAGTAGTCTGCTACACAGCCGTTTTGAGTGTCGTCACGCAACGCTTCTGTGGAGAGGAGCGTTGCGTGACAACACTAAAAACGGCTATGTAGCAGACTACCCAGTCAAACGCCATACGGAACTTACAATAAGTGCGACATGTCTAATATGGCTCGACCCATGAATTAAGTTCAAGTGGCCTATACGGGAAATTTGACTGTGGGGTGTCTTTGTTTCAAACCTCGAACTTTTCATGTTCCGAATATAATCCATCAATCACTATAATTTATTTTGACTGGTAAGAAAATAGGTGCATGAAAAGTTCGACGCTTGAACCCATCGTTAGAATCACGTTAACAGCAAATGGGAAACTTTGGTTAGCGCAGGCTTATTTTCTTATTTTGATCAAGCTGCAAGTTAAAAATTTCTTAACCTAGGGAATGGGCCGACCAACTGTCCGAAAAAATTCTTTTGCACTAGCTTGGTATGATGATATAAAGAAAAGCAAATGGTATATACGGCGAAAACTTCGTTTCGTGGTATAAATTTCTGTTTGCCGTACTGAACTTGATTCTAAAGCGCTCTAATATCAGACTAAAATCTTCATTTATTTTCAGCTGAGTAATGAAGTTTCACAATTGATAACTTATTGTGTTTTTACGGATATATTTCGCACGAGGAATATAGTTTGATCAAGAAGATTCAGGTACATAGACTCGTGCCACTTTGAAAATACTTGAAGTTTTTTCAATAGCTCATCACTATACTCCCAGTAGCTCAATTTACGTTGCGCAAATGGCTTATTTTATGTGTGAAAATTTTACGTAGATCTGTGGAATGGGAAAATTAGAGTCGTTTCGGAGGTGAATGACACGTATGTCTGTGTAAGGCTGGTTATCACGTACACGCAAGCATAAGCGTAGGGTCGGGAGAAGGAAAGGTTCCTTATCTTTGCATCGCACGTAGTTTCCTAAAGGCCTATTTAGGCTGCCTCGTACCCAGACGTCTCTCTCTGGATAAAAATGTGCGCGCAAAGGAAGGCGGTCCCTTGCGGTTCATCACCAGTCACTCGCGTTTCGCGCTCGCCTCTACGATGAGAAAAACGAAGCGCCAAAGGAGGAGGCTGCCTATTTAGGTATATACGATTTTTCCTTACGACTATCGTGCGCGACTAGCATACTTCATGACTTCACGACAGATCGTGTCGTGTAAATTAACACACGACATTTGCGCGACACATGTGCATGTCGTTAGTGAAAATTTTGCGCGTGTGGATGGTCGAAAGTCATGCATGACGTATGCTAGTCGCGCCCGATAGTCGTAAGCAAAGATCGTATGTCAAGTAAACCAACAAATGGTTTCCAGGGTCTCTCCTCTATCCGTACCCTCTGGGGTACCAGCCTTTATTCCTTTTACCCTTAAAGATGGGTCTAAAATGCGCACAGATGGCTGTTTTCACTGATCAAAGCTACAAACAATGAGACCTTGCAGAAAAGCATTGACAAACGTTGTTTCCTCAATTGCGGGGTGGCGTTTATTTTAAACTTCGTTTGGAAGACTGAATTTGGAGTTTATGTATGTAAGAATAGGCCATTTTCACGACGACGATGTTTGACTACAACTACCAGAATTCATTTCGTCTTCGCTTTCTTATTTAAATTTGTCAATTCAAATGAGGTTTAAAGAACAATAGCCCTAATTTACACAAGAAAACAACAAACTGAAGGATTCTGGTAGTTGTGTAAAATGACGTGATCGTGCAATTGTCCTATTATGTTCTCACTAGTATGTTGAGTTTTATACGAGCACGCAGGGCTTGCCGTCAACACTAGAGTATTCTGCAACTGCCTACAGAAGTGTTAAGTACGTAACATAACAAACAGTAGCCTGTGCCAGGCCCTCGGTCAGTGTGGACCGGCGAACAAAGCGAGAGAGCAGGCGGCGAAAAAGCGAAAGAGCCCTCACGCGCCTTTTCGCACTTATTTCTCGATCCGTTCTCCCCACCACCTTGGAGCAGGGAACAGGCTAAACAAACGGCGTTCTGCTAAGTTAGAATTTTAATTGATTCTAGGCTCTTGGTCTAAGAGTTCAGCACAGTGATACTTTACAGGCTCGAAAGCGTTTGCGTGTACAAGTGCTTGGCTGAATTAACATTGCGATGAAGAACTCCTTCAATAAAAAATGTATAAACATATCTAAATAGAATATAAGAGATCAATCTCACTAGGTTTTTTCTCACCGCTTTTTGGTGTCCGGCGTCATTACCTTATTTTGCCCTTCGAGATCATGACAACTTAGTGAATCTTCGCGAATAAGAGAATGTGACATTACTCATTTATTATTCAAGCATAACCTAACCGACACATAAAAATTCTACCTGACCGTCAGTGTTACGCTTTCCTTACTTACTGGCTACTATCTTTCAGTGCAAGAGAAACGGACGATAATAGAATTAGGAGCTTAACCAACGACGACTGCAATGGCCAATGGCAACAAGAACGGCAAAAACATCTTGGCAAAACAACAACTTTGCACGTGCATGTGCAGGAAACTTTTTTGTATATTTCTCCACCGTCGTTGCACGACTACGACGTGAAACATCCTAATTTCACGTGTTATGGAGGACGTATTGCTAAACTTAGATATGGTCCTTTAGAATCCAACTCCAAAAAGTTTGAAACAGCGCGAAGTCCCTATTTAAGTGACGTTTTCGTTGCCTTCGCCCTCGTCGGTTACATCAGCTCCCAAATGAATATATAAGTGACTACTGGTAACTGCTTCACTAATTGCTATTCTCTATTGAAGGGTCAACTGTCGCTTCTCCAAGTTACTTCAACTTCATCCGTTCTAAACCTGCCGGGAAAAAATTATTTTCACAACGTTCAACAAAAAGGAGCCTCTATAACCGTTATCAAAGTTCCTACATAAAACAACTATTCGATCTGGACAGGCAAAAATCAATAATGTGATTTATCAGTGGCAAGCATATAGTGGAGGCAGGGGCAAATTATTGATCGTTTTTTAGGTATGCACTTACAAGTATGACAGTGATGTGGTTGATAATAATAGAGTGTTTTCACATGACGTCACGGCGGCCATATTGGTGTCCCAAAACAATGAAACGGCGGCCATGTAGGTGTCCCAAACCAGTCCCCTGAGAGTTGAACTCTTTTCTTATGCAAACGCTTTCTTTCGTTACAATAAATTTGCATATATACTGGCCACGTGAGTGAAAACACTCTATAAACAGAAACAATTATAAACTACATGACTACCATGCTTGTAAGTACATACCATAAAAAGCAACAAAAAAACCCAGATCATCGTGCAGTATCACAAAACATTTTGCGGCAATATCAGTTACAGTTGTTTGAAGCTCGACTAAGTACAACTGGTAGAAGATGAACTTTGCGTGCCGTGCTCTGAATGATCTTGACGCATGCTGCTATAATCACACAGTACGAGTTGCTTGAGAAAAGATCAGCTAAACTAACTCACTGATTTCTAAACATTTCTTCTGAACATACCTCTGTGTACATGTAGATTCCTCTAGTGGAGTTACATGTCCTGCTCGGAACATCTCCCAACCGGCTTGAGCAATCATCGCTCCATTGTCGATGCAAAATCTGAGAATGATTGACAGAGAGGTAAGATAACAAATTTTATTTATTGTCAAAATAAATCACGCCAAGTAAAGTGATCGTGATTCAGGAATCAGACAAATTCTTGCATGATGAATGTGGAATCTGCAATCTGGGAAATTTTCCCTTGTGGAATACGGGACACTGGGCCTTGAAATCTGGAATCCAACTGAAGGAATCTCGAATACCGGAATTCAAGTTCTATCGACAAAGAATCTGGAATCCAATAACTGGAGTGTAAAATCCACAGCGTGGAATCCAGAATCCAAGACTACTTTGGATTACATTACATGGCGTGAAATAAACCACAAAGTGTCAGAATTACATAAGGAAATGATCAGTCATTGGAAACATTAAGGTGCTGGTAACGATTTTTTTTACAAATAAAACAAAAACACATTTCACCTTTCATCTGTAGCGTAAAGTTTGGCACCCCTCTCCTTAGCCATGATACCTGAGGGAACAAGAAAAACGACCATGAAAGGCTGATACTATTGAAGAAAAGTTTCGATAAGAAATAAATCCTAATCTGAAAGTGGATCATTTTTGTGATCTCTTGCATCGACTAGTTTGTCTCTAAAGGAAAGAAAAATCAAACATCCAACTGCAGATCTGGTTATAGAAAAAAACATTCTGTGAATATGCTTACTTCTCACTTAGAGCAAAATGTTGGCTCAGGGGAGGGGTAGGTGGGCAGTTTCCCAGAAACGTATAATGATTTAAGCAGTGCTGGATCCCTACCTTAAGGTGAGTGTTTTGCACAATATCAAGGCAGTACTCTAAAAAAATGAAGGGAGTTTAGTGCTCCAGGGTGTCCAGTGTATAACTTTCAAGATTTCGTAGGGCGCTCTCCACTCAACAAAAATTTGGGTCTGAAATTTTGGAAATTCCACATGCCCAATGGAATGGTACATTCTGTTTGGTTATTGTTCTTGTAAGCAGGACAAAAAAGAGCGGCACTGGGGACAACAATTTTCTCAAATGGAAAGGGACATTTCGGTCTGGCCGACCGAAAAGACCAGAGTGGTCAAAGTGGACCACCTTCAAAGCTGGTCCCGAATATTCTGGTCGGACCAAACCGAAACAGTCCGTCCATTTGACGTACCAACCAAAATTTCCGGACTTTTGGGTTGAATGGAAAGTGGCCCAAGTTGCCAAAGGGGCACAAGTAAGGCACCTGCAGGGGCCACCGTGTGCTGATAGAGCACAGCTCTTAATATCTGGGCCCTACTGGCCTTGCTTTTGGTTAAAATAACACCCCCCCCCCCCCCCTCACTTAGATCTGCTACTGCAAAGAGCAAGGTCATGACAGTGTGCTACAACTGTTAAAAGTCAAGTCATGCCTCGCGCGTCGTGATCTAATGTGCTATAACAGGTATAAAAATAATTGAATCCAGCCTTAACTTAGCTTACCCATCATTTCTTGTAATCTCTTGTTGCCTATCAGTAACAGAATATAAATACATAAATGCCACATGTTGACCCTGACTTGAAGGATAATTTTCTGGGTTCATGTTTGGGAATGAAATGGATAATTTCATGAATACACTCTACATGAATTTATCATGTGACATTAAGGAATGTGGTAAGGTCATCACAGGTCTAAAATGGCAGTAACGATGTTACAGAAAAGCAGGCACAACACTAAGAACATCACAAAAGTTCAATTATGCCCTTTTAACAAACAAGATAGTGAGCCTATTATTGCTCGCTTTCAATCCCCAAGACAGTTCAAAATTACATAATCAGAAGAAGAATTTAAAAATATATTTTTGCAAGTAGTGGAAAGAAATTTGTAGTAAATGTAGTAAATAAACCAAATAAAAAATCTTTGTAAAAGGTTTTTATACCTTCAAATTAAAATTTGAATGGGACACACTATGGAAATTTATCCACAGGAATCAATATTATTATTACATGTCTCTCTTTTGGACTTTTGTGGTAAAAGTGATAGTAAAAGTACTGTAGCCTACAAAATAAGCTAAAAATTACTCACATCCCACTCCACCAACAATAAGGACCTCACTTGATCCACAATGAGCCATTGCTCTTTCTGAAAATGACGCAAACAGAGGTAAACAAAGCAAAAAGTAATTCCGGGGATCTGACGTGGAGTTTAGAGTCTCCTTTTCCCACCACCAACCTCACTCACCCCGGTCAAGAGCTGGATCACATGTTATTAAGCCCCAGGTACAGAAAAAACTAGCTTAAACAGTAGAGCACTTTTCTGTGGGGAACCTCACACTGTTAAAGGACAAACATACATGTACATAAAATATGGTATGTTACCTGTGGTTTCCACCAACATGGCAAAAACTGTTTCCTGAAAAAAAGGAAACAAACCTTTCAACTTCAAAACAAACACTTTTGTCTTGTAATAACACAAATTTCTCTAACCTTGTTCAATCTACAGTAATTTAGTAGCCTGATTTGTTATTTTTCTGATTGCTGACTACGTACCTTACATTGCTTAAACTTTTAAGTCGGTGAAGCAAATCCTTTGTACAACCACACAATTTTAAAATTCTACATTCTGATTCTTGAAACTAACTATGTAGTTAAATATTTCTCCATCTCTGATTAGCTTTAATCCCGCAGCTTATTCCTCATAATCTGCTGAAGCTGAGCAAAGTTTTTTTTGGAAGAGGTTTCTTTTTATTCCCTCACTTACGTCAGTCACTGACCTCAAAGAGGGAATAACAGCAAATTGTGGACAATTGACATCATGTAATAATGGCAAACGTATTCCCTGAGTCTTCTATCTTTCTCCCTTTTGCTCACATGAGCAGATCCAGAGAGCAGAAATAGATGAAAATTTTGAATACGCTTTTTGAATTTAATAACTCGAGTTGTTATGACAGTGCATTGTATCACAGAACTCAAAATTAAGCACATTTTGTCAATTTTAGACCTCTGAAAGTATTATTTTTGAATTTGGCTTTCTTGCAAGACATGAACAATTTTGTTATATGAGATTTGAAGTTGTTATCCACCTTGGTCTACAGCCTTGATAACACTGCCTTCATCATAATAATTCTTCATATCATACTCAGCCCCAACCAATAATATTGTTAACCCTTATGTCCCAATAGTGACCAACAGCAATTTTCTCCTAATGATATTCATACATTGTCATAAGATGCGGTTATGTGAATTAATAAAATGATTACCTAAGAGAAAATGCTTTGATCTTTTATCAAATTCTCTTAACTAACTCTTAAAGGAAATGTATAGAGATCAGTTTGGAGAATTTGTATGTGGATATTGGGGCTTAAAGGGCTAAACATGCTTCTTACCTGAAGGGAAAAACATAAGTCTTCTGGTGTACAATCACCTGATTCAAGCAGTTTAGGAGCCATACTCTGATATAATAAACAATATTAAAATAACAATGATCAATATCAATAATGATAATGATAAGAAACTGCAAAAACAGATCTTGTTTTGGACCAGTTGCTCGAGTACAGTGTTGTGGTTCAATTTTGTGCTTGGTCTAAATTGTATTTTCTATGTTTTTGGTATGGTAATGTGTGATAATGATTTTGAAACATATGAAAATAAAATTTAAACCAAGGATAAAATTGAACCAAAACATATATATCCTTACCTCTATGTAAGACAGAATTCCTGAAAATGACACATCCATTCCTTTTACAGTGTAAGGCAAATCTATAAGTTTCTTCCCTCTGAAAAATGGAAAACACAAATAAAACAAAATTTCCATTCAAAAGTTATGATAGTCTGTTTCAAGCACAAAATGCTGGCAAAAGAAAAAAATTTCAAAGAATGCATGTACCTTTTAGCCATCTGCTCTATGTTGTAGCCAGGGCTTGGATCATTTGATAACTAATTAATATCAAGATGAGATTATTAATGCTTTGCACATCATTGCTGTTTATGTAAATCAATGATTGTCAGAAAGTTGTCTAATCTACTGAAATAGTTATGTTTAGGTAAGAAACTCTCAGTCTCAATTAAAGATGTTTATGTATTGATCAGCGAGTTGGTGCAGTCAAGTCCCTCCTACAAGACTCTAAAATCAAGGTTTAACTATCTTCCCGACAATACATTAATTTACAAGTAAAATCAAAACTTCACTCCCTACCTTCAACACCCTAGCGAATCTATCCAGGCAGTTGCCAACAGCAATGTCAATAGTCTCTCCAAATATACGATAGCGTCGCTCCAAGTAAGCTATGACTTGAGTGTTACCACCACTGACATACAGAACAGCGGGATTAACAGCGCCTGTCACAAGTCGCCCCATCTCTATGTGTCCTATGCAATGATTGACAGCTACCAGTGGTTTCTTCCATAGCTGGGCAACTGTCCTGGCAACTATTGCAACTGACACCAGAGGAGCTCCCATACCAGGGCCTAAAATTTAGATTTAATGGTTTAATATTGATAATGCAAACCCTGATAATAAAAATAATACTGGTAATAATAAACTGATTTCATTATATTAGTCGTCAAACTGTCATCATATACTTTGTATGGTACTATCGAAGAAAGCTTGCTTAAAACCTAAAACATATTATCTTTGGCAAACTATTTTTTAACCTATCTACCTGCCTCACCTCTTCGTGTCCTGTTACATTTAAGACCTCCACACTTCTCCTGCTATTTTGAAAAGTGTGTCTGCTTTCAGTAATGATAATTTTTTAGGGGGATGGGACATTAACTCATCACCCAATACCCAGCCTGGAGGGCCAGGCATTGCAGTTCATCTGGTATCTCACCCAAAAACCTGCCCAGCAGGTTTGAACCCACCAGAGACAAAGGTCGCAACTGGTATATTAGCTTCCAGGGTCATCAAGGCACACAAACCTACTCTATCTTAAACCGCAACACTTGGGGAGGCATTTCATTTACCAGTAATTACTTACTTAGGCTTGCATCTTGTAACATTTATGTTTGTTTTACAACAGAACTGCCACTAAGGCTTAAAACCAGACATGACTGTCTACTTGTTACAGTATATTTCCATAAAAATTTTAAACTTGTATTAACTGACTGCTTCACTTAAGTAGAAGGCAGGTGCCTGGGATACCCAGGAGCTTCACTGTGGCCAGCCATCTCCTAGATAGAACACTGCCCCCATGGCTGGCAAATCCCAGGAACCCAGCCATGAGCCCCCATTCCAGGCACCCATCACACTGATGAATTAGTGGAAGGAAGAAAAATAAGGGATGGGAGGTGGGAAGACACTAAGGCAACGACTCCACAGACGGCTGCACAAAGATCCAGCAGTGTACAAAGCTACCACGTACCATGTGAGCCTGCAAACTTATGGGATTGACTGGTGGATGCCCGCTATGCTTGTGGACCGCTTGACCACTAAGCTTGTGGACCACTTAACGAACTGCTCGCCTGCTGTGCTTGTGAACGGCTTAACTGCTAAGCTCATGAACCGCTTGACCGCTAAGCTTGTGGTGGTTAACTTAGTTAAATTACATTTCACCAACTTTTCTGGCTTCCTAAATTATTTTCTGACTATCATTGACTCCTTTCTCTGTCTCAATCTCTTCTTTTTACCTTTAGTGTAGCAGATGCAGTCAATCTCTTGAGGTGTGACGTTTGCCTCTTTTAAAGATCTGAAAGGAAAATGTACAGTTATGACTTACAGCAAATTAAAATTGTTTAGATATATAAGAAGCCACCATCAGATCTTAAGCAAAGAGCTGAGGCAAATACCGTAAAATTCCGAAAATAAGCCCCTCCATGTATAAGCCCCTCCAAATATTAGCCCCTCAAATTGGTAACGTAAAAAAACCGTGCGTTAAATCGCCCCTCCAAATATAAGCCCCCCGGGGGCTTGTACTTGGAAAATAGCCCTCAAATACAAAGTAAAACAAAGCAAAAATGGTAAATTTACTTCCAACTATAAGGCTAGCCCAATCGATTTTGAGAGGCAAATTTCCCTCCGTAGATAAGCCCCTCCGAATATAAGCCCCTCCAAAAATAAGCCCCTCAAAAAGGACCTTTGAAAAATATAAGCACCGGGGCTTATTTTACGCTAATATTGATCTGCGAGACAGTGGCAAATCAAGATATTTTGTGATACCGAGTTCAACAATTGTTTTATCATTTGATCACCGAGTTTGTTTTTTAATGAATTTCCCCGGGAAAAGGGGACAGTGATCTGCCATTTTCACGCAAGAGTGATTGCTAGAAGGAGAAAGGTGTGATTATTTTATGCATGAGCAGAACATTATTTGTACCCAAACACAAATAGACGACATTGCGCATGAGCAGACCATTACTTGTAGGCACTTATTTGCAGGTCATGTAGTGGGTTCTCCGCCAAAGAAAAGAAAGAAAAATTTGCTTTGAATGATAAAGTTTGTCAATGTCTGGGTAGCGATAAGGAAATATGCATCTTAAATCATCTTTCTTAAATCCAAAAAAATTATCCCCAGGGACGGGGTACTTGACATCAGTGTATTCCCCCTGGGAATAAAGCATTTCACACGACGTCATGTCTGCCAAGTTGGTGTTCCAAAACAATGAAAGAGGGGCCATGTTGGTGTTCCAAACAGTCCTGTGGAGATTGAACTCTTTTCTTATGTAAAAATTTTCTTTTGTTCCAATAATTTTGCATAGCTGTTGACTATGTGAAATGGCAAATCCCCCTGGGTATGCCCGGCCCCCCTATCCTGGGGCTTAACACTGACTGCTGCATTATTTTGAGCTCCCCGACACCAGTTCCACTCGGACACAACTTACCTTTTTAAGATATCAATAATATTTTCACGGTGGTGTTTCGCAGTATCCCTTGGTAAGAACCCTAAAGCAAAAATATTTGTATAGTAATCCTTTACATACATGTAACTTGTATAGCACTTTCAGTGAGATTTCCGTAACCCCCCTATCCATGCAAAAAGCTCATACTATTTTACACAAGTTTATATGAACAGAGCCGAAATATGTATGCATAATACATGTATGGAGCTGTACGGTAATCTATTTCTCTAACTCAATGTCTCGCGATAATGGAATGATATTTTCTTAAAGCGAAGCTTGTTTTGTTCACGTGCTGCATCAGATACCTTCTCCTGGCGGAGTGATGTATGTTGTACGGGCATTGGAAAGAACGACTCCATCTTTGATGATACCAATACCCAGCTTATTTGCACTACCTTCAAATCCAATGGCAATTGTCATACTGAGCGAACTTAAGTAAAAGAGACCACAGAAAAACTCCACAGAAGATTAACCTATCGACAGATCGCCATTTTGTATTGTAACTAGAGCCCAGTCTTATTTTCAGCCAGTGCGCAAAGCTATATGGGTAATGTGCTAAGGCTGGGGTGGGTGAAGCGTGGGTGTGGGCACAGTGCACGGGTCCTGTGACTCGTGCACCACAGGATCACCAGGATCTGGATCCAATTTTATTATAACTAACTGCACGACCAAAAACATGTCGGATTTCTAATAACCCCCGCTCCCACCCAAATTCCCACAAAATGCCTTTTTTCATCAATCCCTATTCGCTCTTTTGGAATGCTTCCTTTTTTGGCATTCAAGAGTCGACTGACACCTAGATTCAGAGTTAAAAAGAAAGGGCTATTGGCAAAACTTGGATCACATCAACTGGCTGTGACTTGCTTAATGGCGTGAAATGTTAAGGAAAGTATTTCAGGGATTGATCTGATCCAACAACAACAACATAAGCTTTATTTGCATGACTATAATTATGTAGTTACAGTATTGCAAAAGCTTTAACATAAAAAACAAACAAACAAATCATCAGGTGCGGATCCACACCGGTTTCCACCGTTTTACGGAAATCGGTCACATTTTTCATATAAAATATATTTTAAAAATAAAAACACTTTCCAAGTTGAAACCTGGCCAATATCCCATCTGAATTACTCACAAACCCAGGAAAGGGGACTTTGAGGAGTAAAAATCCAAATAATTTTTTGGGGGAGCCAGCCCCTGGACTCCGCTAAAAGTTTGCGCCTTCAACGCTCGTTTAGGAAATCGGTCAGTATTTATCCTAGATCCGCGCCTGATCATAACAATGATAATGCAATGCAATGATTACTATAGTCAATCAAGTGTCATCAGCATGATTTGATAACAAATTATTACGTAAATCATTATATAATGAGACAAATGTCAACAAATGTGAATTTACGGAAAAATTCTGTGCATTCATCAATTTAATTATTAATTCTGTGTAAGATAGCTGATTAAAGTCGACAAAATTTTGTTGGATTTGATTGTAGAATTTCTCCCTTGGGATTGAGTATTTTGGACAATGGAAGAGAAAATGAAATTCGTCTTCAATTATACCAGAGTTACAAATAGGACAGAATCTATCGTTGCGGGAAGTTTGATTATATCTTCCAGTTTCAATCATGAGTTTGTGGTTACTTACACGAATTTTCACTAAATGTTTCCTATTAGCAGAATTTCTAATTAAGTCTAAATAACTTGAAATTTTATAATCATGTTTAAATAAGCTTTAAAATTGTAGTTTCTTAGAATGATGGATTGTATGTTGCCAATATGCAATATATTTTTGTTTTATTATATCTATATAGTGTTTGATCTTAGCTTCACTTAAATTATTAGGATCAAAATCAAGGAGGTCATAATATTCAGATATTTTCATGAGATTATGGTAAAAGCTATTTTTACCATTACAGTGAAGTTCTAGCGAAGTACGAAAGGCTTGTTTAACAATAGTATCCTCGTTTTTACGCAGAAGATACAATATGTAATAAAGGATGTTTTTATAAATATTAATAATAATGGCAACCGTCCTAATTCACTTCTACTTGCAACATTTGAAGCTTTATTGCTTATTTCTAGGTAACGCTTGCAAAATTTCAAGTAGGTTTTTTCAATTGGGGTATTGTACGTCCCAAGCTTTAAAATCATGTTTTACATATACACCCCAAATTTCGCTATTATATGATAATATTGGGGAAATCATCGTTTCAAATATTTTGCAAGCAAGAGAAGGTTTTAATTTGCTAAAGTTTGTGTGTTGTCTTAAACTAAAAAGAGCATGAAGAGCCTTCTCTTTCAAGTGTTCGAGTGAGATATTAAAATTACCGGTTGAGGAGATATGGGTTCCTAAATATGTATATATTCATGGACAATATCAATGGTTTCTTTATCTATATGGAATTCTAGAGTGGAGTTTTTCTTCGCTCGTTTTTGAAAGACCATAACTTTGGTCTATTTGGAATTTATATCTAACATCCAAGAGTTGCAAAAAGAGGATAATGTGTTGAGACAGTTCGGTAATCCTATTTTAGATCGTGATATAATAATTAAATCATCAGCATATAAAAGGGAATTTAATTTGGTACCATTTGGAAGGATGATAGGGTCTGATAAAATATTTTGAAATGCGGACGGTAAGTCATTACTGCGCTTTTCACAAATATGCGAATTCTGAAGTTCAAAAGCCAACTGACGATTGCGTTTTTCGCTGCCGTCAATCATCTTAACGGACCTCTTAGGAAACAAAACTTTACTTTAACGGGTTCAAAAGGTCAAGGTTTGTGATTTCTGATTGGTGGATTTCGATCCGTTTTGTGTGTTTCTGTGTTTGAAAGTTCGTTGCTTGTGATCGTAATTATGATTGACGGCAGCGAAAAACGCAATTGTGAAGGCGGCTTTTGAACTTTAGAGTTCGCATGTTTGTGAAAAGCGCAGTAACGTATAAATTGAAAAGTAAGGGGCTTAAAATACAGCCCTGGCGTACGCCTCGTGAATAGCTAAAAGATTTTGTTTGACTCGTACCTATTTTCAATGCACACGAAGAGTTTGAATATAGGTTTTGGATTAACTTATAGAAACATCTCCCTACACCTATTTGTAACAATTTATATAAAAGTCCGTCATGCCAGACTGAGTCAAAGGCTTTTCTAAAGTCAACAAAACAGCGTATACTTTCTCACCGTGACAGTGTACGTACTTGTCTATAAGAGGTCGTAATGTTAGGAGGTGGTCTGATGTTCGATTTTTAGGTAAGAAGCCGATTTGAGACTTGTGGAGTATGTTCAGCGAAGTAACGTGTTCAAGAAGTCTGGTTTAAAATTGAAAAGAACAACTTTCCTAGACAACTAGAAACACAGATCCCGCGGTAATTTGTTGGGTCATTTCTTACGCCAGATTTGAATATGGGAGTTATAAGACCGTTGCACCAATTTTTAGGCACTGTTCCTAAGTTAAGAACAGTATTAAAAAGTTTATGGTAAACAGGTAGCAGTGTTGGTAAGCTAGCTTTAATCATTTCGTTTCTTATTTTGTCGGAGTATGCAGATTTGTTATTCTTTAATTTTCTTGCTGCCTTGCTTATTTCACCTTCTGTTATGAAGTAGTCTAGAGGTCGTGATTGCATTAAGACGTCTTCTCGTGTTCTTAACTCATTGACAACCTTCTGTTGCTCAGAAGTAAGTGGCTTAATTATTAGAATGTAGACACTGGAAATAATTCACCCAATTCTCTTCTGCAATTGGTGGAGTGTCTTTGTATTTTATAATGTCATCCATTGATTTTCAGCAATTCCAAAATTTTTTAGTATCCAAATTGTACGTTATATCCTCTAATTCTGAAAGTTTATTGTTGTAATATTCATTTCTTTTATGTGCGAGTAATTTCTTATACTGCTGTAAAACAATATGATATTTTTCACGTAGAGGGGTATTTAAGGGATCTCTGTGTTTTTCATTTGACAATTTCCTTAATTCGTATCTTTTTAAGCGACATTCCTTATCAAACCATTTTTTATTTGAGCGTGAATAGGTGCGTTTGTGTCGTCTCGTCGTTCTTATCTTTAGGCACCGTTTTGCCGTTGTGATAAGAATATTTTCTACCTGTTCCGCGGAAGTGTTAACATTTTTAGCTGAATTGATGTCACTTAAATATTCGTGAATTATTATTTGCAAATTTGGAGATTGAAGAGCTGCTTTGAATTTTGGTCTAGAGTCACTTTCCCACATAAATTGTTTTGGTAATCGTGTTAAAGTATTACTCTCTGGTGAAGGATCTTGATTACGAATATCGGTGTCAGTACATAACCAGGTCACCAGTGGACTATGATCTGATAAATACGTGGGCTCTTTAACAATAAAGTTTAGTATGTGTGAGAATAACGTTTGATCACAAATGGCATAATCAACGACACTTATTCCATCCTTTCCATGAAATGTGGCTCTTCCTAAGGAGTCTCCACTAACTCTACCGTTAAGTATTCCAAGATCTGCGCTTCTGCAGATTTCAAGAAGGCGTTTGCCGTGATTGTTAATGTTGTTGTCAAAACTATTTCTATGAGTGGAATCTGAAGAAAGATGGGACTGATCATTGGTAATCATGGTGTTTCCTTCTTGGCTTACACAATCCGAATATTTTCCTGTTCTAGAATTAAAGTCACCCATGAGAAGAATCGATCCTTGAGAGTAAAAAGTTTCAATGTCGTTTTCAAGATCTTCAAACATTTCAGGGAGAAAGTATGTAGCCTGCGTAGCTGGCGGTATTGTGTAGTAGGCGAGTGAGATTTGGCGGCGGAGCCGTCAAGAGCGGTATTTCAACCGCCTTGTCACTACTCCCTTTTTTTGGAACACGGCTCCGCCGCCAAAACTTTAATCTCGCACCCACACAATACCCCCAGCTACGCAGGCTAGAAAGCATGTTGAGCCGTTAGGCGGAATATAGACGCCACAAACATAAATATCTTTGGATGTTTTTACGTACTGTTTGCTAATTTTCAACCACAGAAAGTTCGGAGTTATTTTTTCTATTGATACCCAATTATGGAGTTCATTTTTGTAAAGTAAAGCAACTCCTCCTGAGTTGCGACCATTGTTTCCTAATTTTGAGGTACCTGAAACTATAAATCGATATCCTGTTACATCGATAATCGTCTCCTTCCAGGTCTCAGAAAGAATTACGAAATCAAATTGACATATCAAATTCAAACATTCATTATTTTGCAATTTATCACCAAGGGGTGTAGCAAAGATCCCATTGATGTTCCACGAAAAGAACGACAGACTACCAGTCGGGGAGCGATTCGAGCAATCTGCCAACATTAATGATATCTTATGGCATGTTCTAATCGTATCCTAGTAAATAATTAGGTATTATTTAGAGTAAGGATTTAATGATTCTAAAAAAAGATATAAGTTCCTGAGGGAGTT